GTCGGACCTGATACAGGAGCTCAAGCAGCAGAACTCGAAGCTTATAGAATATCTTCGCGACGAAAATGTCTTGGAGCGCCTGCTGCGCTATGTTATCGCCGCCAGGCCCAACCTGCCCCACGACGACGACCAAGGAAGCTCGCTGGCGCACGAGGCGAGAAGTCCCAGCCGCGCTGGCTTCTTTGGCAGAGTCAGGGCCCGCTCAACCTCGACCACAAAGTCGGATGCAGGCGACACCGAGGAGAGCAAGGAGGAGCGTCAGCGAATGAAGTACGCTTATGTATCGTGCGAAATCCTATCCTCTGAAGTATGGTCCATATCGGAAGCCGTGCTCGAGAACCAGGACAGCCTGCGCCAGTTCTGGGCCTACATCAAGCAGCCTGCCCCGCTTGACCCTGTCCAGGCCGGCTACTTCACCAAAGTCAACGAGTCGCTGCTCGACCGCAAGATGGAGGAGATGCTCGACTTCTTCAAGTCCCTGGACAACGTTGTGCCAGATATGCTCCAACACGTTGATTGCCCGGTCATCATGGACTTGTTATTGAAGATTATCAGCCTTGAGAAGAGCGAAGGTGGCCAGGGCATTGTTGATGTGGGTGCAGCTATCCAGACCGACAGGCAGGACTGACAAAAGCGCAGTGGTTACAACAGCAAGATCTCGTCCCACGATTGATTGCCTTCCTCCGACCAGACCAATCGACCTCCACTCAAACATCGGCCGGCGATTTCCTCAAGGCTATCATTACTATATCTGCAAATGCTACAACACAGGACCAGTCGGTGATTGGGCCAAATGAGCTTACTCGACAACTTGTTTCCGAGTCATGTCTCAAGCAATTGATAGAGTACATGCTCCACGGCGGTAACCCACTTACTGTCGGCGTAGGCATCATTATCGAGGTCATCCGGAAAAACAATTCCGACTACGACTTGGAGAACCAAATCGGACCAGTACCTAAGAACTCAGATCCCATCTACTTGGGAACACTACTTCGACAGTTTGCAAATCATATTCCGCAGTTCATGGAACTGGTCAATAGCTCTAGCCAGGTAGTGACAGAGCCAGATGGCACCATCACAAGGAAGAAGCGAGAACTCAAGACGGCATTCGGTGACAAGATAGAGCCTCTCGGATTCGACCGCTTCAAGACTTGCGAGCTAATGGCTGAATTGCTGCACTGTAGCAACATGGCGCTGCTCAATGAGCGCGGTAGTGAGTCCGAAGTCCGAAGACGAGATGCCGAGCGAGAACGTTTGAAAGCCGACGGTAAACTAACTTCAGCTAACCCCGGGAACCCAGGCGATTTCTCCACCAGTGTCGATAGTCAAGGGTTCCATCATGCGCGCGCCCCATCCATGGACTCGCCTGCTGAGATCAAGCCTCTGCACGTGCAGAACAGTGCTGAGGATGATTTTGAAAAAGTTGTTGCGCCAGAGGTCGCTGTTGAAGATCCAAAAGAGAGTGCAAACGACAAGGAACAGATTGGCGAGCCATTGGAACCTTCACCTAAAGTGGCTCCTAGAGATGCACCCAAGGAAACACCCACAAGCAAGGCTGTGGGTGACGACGGTGAATTCGTCGATGAGCCTCTCACACCACCCAAAGACTCTACTGCGTCTGCTGAAGCGGCTCCTTCTCCCGCCAAGCCTGTAGACGATGCAGAATCCCCCACATCAGCAGGTCTAACAGCCAAGGTTGACGATCTCGGTCTGGGTAATGATATTGTTATGAACGATCGCCGGGAGCCCCCGGAATCTGCAAAGATCGAGAAACCTGAGACTGAGACCAAGTCCTCGCCATCTCTGCTAACACAGCAACTCAATCAGACCTCAGAGTCTGGTAACCTCAATCTACCAGATCCTCCTCTGTCACCTCACCCTGACGATAAGCCAGCACCGCTTTTTGCGGGTAAGAACCGCGACAATAGTTCCTCGCCCGCGAAGGTCGACACTTCGCGGTTCACTGCACCTGTACCGGGATCGGATCTTTCTGAAATTACCCCGATTGACGAAACTCAAAGCGTCCGCTCTGTGGTGTTTGGAAGTACAGAAGAGGCTGTAGGTTTCGAGGTTGATATCGACGGAACGCCCGTGGTTGGTGATTTGTTGAAGATTACATTTGTCGAGAACAGAGTTGTGCCAACTATACTTGTAAGCTCTCACTCAGACCACTGGCTACAACTTCTAACATCTGTAGGATTTCTTCTTCCGTTTTCCTTGGAACAACTTTCTACACAATGTGGTATATGACGTTGTTCAGCAGGTGTTCAACGGCCAAATGGAGCATGGGTACAACCGGCAATTAGCAATTAACCTTTTCGACAGCGGCGCCATAACTGAACGAATCATCAAGGGACAAGAAGAAAGCGACAAGTCGCACAAGGAGACACACATGCGACTAGGATATATGGGCCATCTTACCCTGATCGCAGAAGAAGTGCTCAAGTTTACTGAGCGACACACGGATGAAGTCCTATCACCCATGGTCCTGGAAAAGGTTCACGCTGAAGAGTGGGTGCATTACGTCGAACACGTCCTGGCCGAGACACGAGAGCGAGACAATGCCATCCTTGGAGGAGTACGACCCGACATGAGCGTTGGCCCAAGACAAGCGGTACTTAATGCTGTCAACGCAGCGAATAACTTTGTAGGCGACAGTGGGGGACTCTCCAACGCTAGCCTTGCCGGCAACGGTGCTATAGGCCTCGACAGCATGGAGCTCACCAATGCTGGTGACACTGGAGGTGGTGGGTACACCTTCAGCGGTGGCTCCTTGCTTAGTGGCTTTACTAACTCGAGTGATGAAGAAGACGAAGACATGGACGATGTCGACACCGAGAGAGAACGGGAACGACAGGGACCTGTCGACGACTCCGAACAAGTGGGTGAAATCTCATTTGACGATGCTGATATGGACTATCGATAATCACATCGCCCCGACCATACACACACTACCACCACGATCGTTTTCCGCCCTTGGTGCGTTTCCTTTTCTTATACCTGTTTGTATTATGAGTTGGGACTGGTAGAGGGCTCACATGCTGGATCCATGGAACAAACATCATTTCTTCCGTACATACATTCCTCGGCCATTCAACAGGGTGTATGATACATGTAGTAATACACATCGTGAGATGTGGTTTTTCATCATTTCCTTTGTGTGAAAAGATAATTTCCATGATCTAGCATGCCCTCCCTACCGCTGTCTTCATCTCACAATCATGTTTGCTTGTTCAATCTCGGTCTTCCCCTGTCAAGTTTTTTGGTCGCGTTCCATCTCCGTCTCGCTGATCAGCATTTACACTAGCTCTTGACCTATTACACTGACACAAACCCTTTTCCAGTCAAGCATCCCACAGCCTCTGCAAGTACCGCCCTCGCGAGCGCGCCGCCAATTCGCTCTCCGGCTCGCCCAACGCAAGGCCCAACTCGAATCGACACGTGATGCAGAGGACGACCTAGATGACGATTCATTGCCCAAGACGCAAGAAGAGGAAGAACGCGAAGGCCATCAGCGTTTTGCTCGCATGTTTGAAGGCATCGAAGACTCGTCTGATGACGACAGCATGCACAGCGGCGAAGGACAAGGAGAGGAAGGCCATGAATTTGGGAGAAACTCTCCGGAGAAGTGTGCTAGCCCTGAGAAAGCGGAGCTTGACAGTGATGGTGAAGGCAACGGGACGAGTGGTGATGGAGCACGGAAGTTTGTGGTGTAGTGTTTGAACGGTTGGTTGTCTGTTTGCATGGATTGGCATGGTTTTTGATTTAATAGATCGAGCATATGTCGCCTGCGGGATGACTACATTGGTCGTCTGCAGTATACAGGATGAATGGATGTGATATGTAGTAATGCATGTTTATGAGATACCCACCCCTTTACCACACGAGGCTCACTGTGGGCTTGCCGAAATAAGATTTATTGATGGTATTGAATGTAATTATGAGACTTGGAAGATGATTAGAATACCAGAGATTTAGTAGTACTATGTACAGTTACCGGAGTACATGTCATGTGACTCGGCGATACGCTAACGCCGTAGCGTGTTTTCGTAGGGATCCACTGATTGTAACTCCAGCTCTCTTGATTCCACATGCAGACATCGACCTCACAAATGTCCGCCCAACTGACCACAGGTCGTCCCACGTCGGATCGCCGTGTGTCCGGAGCACCAAAACGCACATCTCTCCTTCCGAAGCCGTCATCGATTGTGCTAGACTCTTCCGTCCTCATTGCCCAGCACGCGCAACTTACCGGCCTGCACCCGATAACCATTGGCCCGAATACTGTACTGCACCCACATAGCAAGCTCAGCAGCGCATTGGCGCCCGTCGTATTGGACGAAGGATGTGTTGTTTTCGAGCGAGCAAAAGTCGGCGTGGGTATGGGATCTGAACTGGATAGTGAAGGTCGGCGTACCAACATGTCGACACGCAGTAATGCGAATGTCAGAGAATCTATGAGGAGCGAGGGAACAGTACTCGGAAGAAATGTAGTCGTTGAATCGAATGCAGTAGTTGAAGCTGCCGAGGTAGGTGAAGGCACTGTGATTGAAGTCGGTGCTGTGATAGGGAGGGGTAGCATCATTGGAAAGGTATGCAAGACTACTCCTCCACAATTTGATAGTTTTCCAATTGCTAAAGCGCATGTATAGTATTGCACTATCACGGCTGCATCTTCCTTGCCCCCGAATACTCATTTGCCAGACTATACGGTCGTCTTTAGCGGCTCCCAGCAGCGCATCGATCGCACTCTACAGTTACGACCGGAGATTCTGAGTGCGAAAATGGCGGTGCATGCCAAGCAGCTGGATATGTTCAAGAGATTAATTCCAAATAATATCGCGAAATGGGCACCGTGATCGGCCGGAAATGCAAACGTCGTCTAGCAAACGATATTCAGAGCTACGGCAATGGTTTAATGAATTGATGTCAATCATGCACAATCATCCGTCGAGCGTTCAGAAGGTCATGCATGGGCTTCACATGAAAGGCTTGCACGTGGTTACTGCCTTGGCTTTTTCACTCCTCCCACAAACAAGGCCGCACTTTCTCCACAGCATATCTGAACATAAACTCAACGCTCGATTCGTTCCACTATAGCCTATTCTTCCTCACATAGCATATTCAGCCGACCACACCAATGTTCGATCCACCTATCAAAGCCGATTTCCTCGCCCACGGCCTCGTAGCATGTCCCGTGCCGGATGAGGACCTTGAATGTCCCATCTACCGGGAGCAGTTTATATCAGCACTTAGTACCCCAAGCGATACCACTGAATCGGACTCTACTACATCTTTGGTAGACAGCGCCACCGACGAATATACCACCCCGCCCCCCGAAGACGCCGAAAGCCGCCTACCCATACGGATGCCCTGCTGCAACAACATCTTTTGTCACCACTGCATCAACTTATGGCTTAATTCGGTAAACACATGTCCGACCTGCCGCGTACAACTCTTTGAAGGACCAGAACCAGAACCAGAACTAGAACCAGAACTATCCGAATCAACCGAATCTGAAACATCTGATTTTGAAGAGGAATATGATGAGGGCTTGAATATACTCATGGAGTTCGACACTGATGGTTGAACAGCAGAAGTTAGGCCTCGGTACGCCGCAGGAGGAGCTTAGTGTAGTGTCGGAAGCCTGACTATCGCTTGTAGTGAACGGGTTTAGATAGGTTTCGAGCCACGGGTCTTACCATGGTGGATACGAGTACCTTTCACCTTCACCTTGCACTGTACGGTGGGCAGCTAGATATACGAGGTGTGGAATTCAAAGAGAGGTACTAGATAGAACTAAAGCCTTGTGAATTGGATGATGTCTCTACTGTATAAGAAGTTTGAGTCTTATCCTCGAAGCCGGACGATAGTTTCTGCTCAAGGGTTACGAGTAACCCTGTGCACCGGCATAGTAGCTTTGTGCGTATGAAGCATCAGGTTTTTTTTAAAGCAAAATAGCTCATATTGTCGTGGAGCGTTTTTTCAAAGCTCCATCTGCGTAGGTGCTCGATGCATACAATGCGTATATTTTTTTTCTCCAGATCTGAAGGCCCGTCAGATTTGCAAGTTATTGTGTTTCCCTTTCCTTTGTACCTTGTTTTTTTTTAAATGATTTGTATTAGTTAACTGATGCGGGTTTATGTAAAGTGGCTAGATGCAGGATTTTATTTTATTTTTGGGCTTAGAAAAAGGATTGCAGTTGTCAATCAAGGGGAAATTAAGAAAGCTTCTTCGGCGCTAAAACTAAAGAATTCCTCGAAAGTCGAAAGTAAATTAGTTTTGATGCTGAAAAGTTTTTCAGAGGTCGGGTTTTTGTCTTGATTGTTGGAAGGGGAGAAGATTCAGGTTACCATTACATTATATCCTTTTCTGAGTACCTTTCGGACATTGTTCCCATATACTCCCTGGTTGCTCAACCACAGTAAACCACTCTTCTCAACGCTGCCATTCATATAACGACCGGGGGGGTATCAAACAGTTTACTAAAACTACGTGGAACTACCTTGCCACGGAAAAAAAAATCTGATTTAGGGCATAGCTCATCCGAGCTGTGTAAAGGACCGAACAAACCGTTTGCGAATGTAAGTCATTATCATACAAAGTGAAATCGACCATCTCCAACTTCCCTTCCCTCTGAACACTTACTACCAGATCTCATAATCCGGTCCTCAATCACTGCCACCTAAACCCATCCCCTGGCAAAAGAAAACTCGCCTCCTCAAACGTAATAACGCGATCCATATCCAGAAAATGCGAATCCATAAACGCATCCGACAAGTTCAACAGTGATTGATCTTGTATACTCTGCTGCGTGCCTTGCGCCCCCAACCCAGTATTATTATATGGTGGGTTACCAGATGGCGGTGCAGCCTGGTAGATTGAAGGGGGAGGAGGGTAAGATGGAGTTTGAGGCATGTGCGGGGATTTGTAGATGGGGGTTTGGGGGGTGGGCGGGGAGAGGTGGGTATGGTGTGGGTGCGGGGTATATCTTGTGGGAGATGTGAGGGGGTGGGTGGATTCTTGGGGTGGTGGTGGTTTGGCGCTTGGGCTAAGGGTTGAATGGGGGTTAGTGAGGCTGGCTTTGCGTGTGTGGTGCTTTATGGAACGCTCGGTGGCGGAGCTGTCCGGGCGGGTTTGCGGGGTGGGTGCGTAGGTTGGGCTCGCAAAGTGTTGGGGGTATAGTGCTATGCCGCTGTGGTCGTAGAAGTCGAAGCGGAAATAGGGGTCGTGGTGGCAGGCTTCTTGGAGACGCTCAAGGTGGTCGGCGTACATGCCGGCTTGGTTGTTGGGGCGCTGGTTGGTGTTGCGGCTTTTTTGCCAGCGGGTGGCCATTTCCCAGAGGTCGTGGACTAGGCGGTTGAACTCGGGTTGGAGAGGGCGCCGGGTGGCTTGGTGGCCGAATAGTAGGGCTTTGGCGGCGACGAAGGCGCAAAAGGAGAATTGTACGTTGACAAAGGGTATGGGGGTGTGGGTTAGGAATTTGTTGACAATGTTGGAAGTTTCGACAGCCGCGAGCTCGCATGTTTGCGCACTGCATTCTTTTGGGAGTGCGACAAAGTCGTTCCATTCTTTGGGCGGATATCCAATTGGATGATGTAGCAGTATCATCGATGTGTTGTGAGTGATGTGTGCTAGAGTTAGATTTGGGTCCATGTCTACTACTGCCCGATCAGCAGATATGTTGGAGTCCTTCCATCTGGGTGGTAGAAACATCTTCCACTGAACGAGCCGAAGATCCAGTTCTTTGAAGCGCGTCAGCCAGCTGACAGCATGCTCTTTGTCTTGCCAGTTGATCCTTTGCTGGAGGAAGAATGTGGTTACTTGGCTCAGACTCTCGGTTGCTTCAACGCAATACGCGAAAGCGCCGAGTTTAGATGCGTCTATGTAGCTGTTGGTCGAGTTTGGACTAGCACCTGGAGGCAGATCTGTTCCAGGGTCATCTTCATTGTACTGAGCAGGTACGTTTGCTAATGAACGTCCGATACGAGCCGCTGCTTTGTTCCAGATTCCTGTCACGGTTTGTTAGCGAAGCTAGAAGACCGATATACACATTTCCCTCGGAGGTGCCAATCAAATATGCTTACGTACCAAAATACGGAGTGGTGACAGGCTCCTCACGGGTGAAATAGCCTCCGTCTGCTGGTAATCGACGATGGACATCTTCGGCGGTGAGACTGGTATTCCACCCTGTAGATGCCGAACAAAATCGATCAAGCAAGAAGATGATCCAGAACAGTCTCCGGCGTTCTTCGAGCTCCGTCCAGTCATTCGAAGGCTTTACCAGACGCACAGGTGCCATTAGTGATCTGGAATGTAAGAGTGATGGCTCGGTAGTGAGCTGGAGGTAATCAATCGTTCTAGTCAACGATCCAATGAGTGGCCAAGCCCTTTGTGGCTGGCCATCATTCAAGAGATCAAACACGAGGAATATGAGTGCCTGCAGGCTTTCGATAGTAACATTTCGCATCGCATGCGTTTCCACAATCATGCGCGATATGTTTATCTGCTGGTGGATCTGGTCAAAATCCAAGAAGAGCACGCTGGGTTCCATGTGTCGCAAAGCAACGGCGACTAAAGCATGGAGAACAAGCACATGGCCGGGATCCTGTGAGCCCTGATGCACCCGTGTCTGAAGCCGCGCCTTGTGGATATATGGGATCCAATGGTGGAACGAGATGCAGAAGAAATCCACGAGCTTCTCGAGAAGTGGCTGAGACGGAAGGTGTTGAGCGATGTCGACATCTGCAAACGGGAAAAGCCAACTCTCAGGAACGGGCGTGTGGTGTCTTCTTTTCAAAGGATTCGGCGCCATGCTCTCTTCCTTGGGTACTTCTGGTGCGCTTTCTCTTTGGATCTCCACGTAGCGTTGTTCAGGAGTAGGCTTAGCGGACCGAGGCTGCTCATGGACACGAAACGCGGTTTCTGTCGTGGTCACGGTCGTGGTCGTAGTCGTGGGTGGCGTCTCATGAACGATGGCCTGCCCTCTGGTCGTTGCATCGTCATCTACATATCGCGCACGAACCTGACCGTTTTCGTCTAAAAGGATCTTTTCCAGAAGAGCTGTAGATTGTGAGACGTGTTGCAAGCAAACCCAGAAAGATATCAGATCGGCATACCAACGCGGCGGGTCAAAGCCTCGACGGCGCCTGGCTTAAGGCCAGGCTTGTTCTTTGGCTGGTACACACACTCAGAGGCTGCATATGAGGATCAGCGACGACCATGTCACTACTATTCAATGCAGCAACGTACAAAGCCTCAGACAATGAGTACACGAAGGCAGTTCGCGCGAGCAACGCAGCTTGCGCTGCTTGCAGCTGACGCAGGCAGGGATATCGCCTGCTACCGAGACCGGGCCATCGTCTTCGTGGGCTGCTGCTTGGCTGCCGTTGCCAGCTGAGTAATTGGTCCAGCTAGCCGACATCAGCGCGACATCTTCGAAAAGAGGCGTTTTTTATTGTTCAAAAAGGAAGAAAGTAGCGGACTTAGAGGAATACAGCGAGCGGGCATCGGGATAAATCACAATAAAGTCGCTCCACACGCGCAACCCCGCGGAACTAGCACTCATTTCGGCCCATCGGTCCACTTTTAATGAGCGAGCACCTTTCCCGCACTTAATCTCTACTTTTACCAACGGGTGGACAGATCAATCTGGAGACGGGATGCTACTACCTCGGGGAGGACAAACTGCTTGCATCGGACTTGCAACCTTTTTTGGCCCGAATGCGGGGGAAAAGGATTGGTTAATATGCAGGGCGCGCGCAACTGCAACCGTTTTACCGGCCAACTGCCTGGCCAAAACCCACTGAATAAACTAGTACATAGTATCCTTAATATCAAGAAAACACTAGTACTATATACAAACCTACATAGCCCGCCCCGCATCAGCATCTTACAATTCCCACCGGAGACATTTAGAGAAACTGGCAAGCAAAAGGGCGGAGAGATAGAGGAAAAAAAAGGCGGGAGAGGGGAAGAATAATTTAATGAAGAGAATAAGATGCCATCGCTCCCAGACTTCTCCGACAACCCCTTCCAAACCCGCAATCAATTCCAAGCCGCAGCCAGAACCTTAATCAACGCATTACGCCCTTTTCATTCCCCAGGCGGTGCGCGTATCAAACTCGCCTTAGCAACAGGCACGCATTTCGACGATGTCGCCGCGCAACTCGAAGGCTTTGCACGCCCGCTCTGGGCCATTGGCTCTTTGGCGCACGCCGACACACTGAGTCCCGATGAGGCGAAAGAAACAATCGAGCCTTTTACTAGAGGGTTAGCAAATGGAACGGACCCTAACCATGCAGAGTACTGGGGCCCCGTTGTCCTGCGTGACCAAAGGATGGTGGAAATGGAGATTATTTCCTTTGCGCTGCTGGCGGCGCCGCAGACACTGTTCCATTCGCAAACGGAGCGGGCGAGGACGAATATCACAGCGTGGTTGAAAACGATTAATGGGAAGGATTTTCCGACGACGAATTGGCTTTGGTTTAGGGTTATGACGAATCTGGCGCTGGTACGGGTGTGTGGTGTGCCGCGGGAGGAGGTGCTGGGGGCTATGCAGGCGGATTTGGATCTCATGGAGGAGTTTTATAGAGGGGAGGGGTGGGCGGCGGATGGGATGTGGAGTGATGAGGGACGCCAGGCGGATTATTACTCTGGGAGCTTTGCGATTCAGTTTTCGCAGCTGGTATATGTGAAGATGGCGGGGGATCTGGATCCGGAGCGGTGCGAGCGGTTTCGAAGTCGAGCGAGGGAGTTTGCGATGAGTTTTTGGCGGTACTTTGATACTAATGGTATGTGTTACTTGGAATCCAAAGTTTCCCCATCTGATACAAGGCTACTGATTTATCCAACCCAGGCGCTGCTATCCCCTTTGGCCGCAGTCTCACATACCGCTTTGCACTCGCAGGCTTCTGGTCCGCCATCGCCTTCGCAGACGTCTCTCTACCCGCACCTTTGGACGACTGGGGCGTGATCAAAGGACTTCTCCTCCGCCACTTCCGCTGGTGGGCCACGAAACCCGACATCTTCAACAGCGACGGCACCCTCACCATCGGCTTCGCATACCCAAACATGTACCTGAGCGAAGACTACAACAGCCCGCAATCCCCTTACTGGTCTATGAAATCCTTCCTCGCACTATCCCTCCCATCAACCCACCCCTTTTGGACATCTGAAGAAAAGCCATTGCCGCGCAGCGAACCCTATGCAATCGTCCCAGTAAAACCCCCAATGCATATCCTCTGTAACAACCCGAACCACCACTTCCTCCTCTCCACCGGTCAATTCTGCCCCTGGCCCCTCAAAGCTACAGAGGCGAAATACGGAAAATACGCATACTCATCTCACTTCTCCTTTAGCGTGCCCACCGGACCTTTACTTCAGCAACTCGCGCCAGATAGTATCCTCGCACTGAGTAAAGACGGCGGCGACACATGGCGCGTACCGTGGAAAGTCCAATCCCCCCGTTTCGACACCGTAGACCTGCTGCACAACGGCGAAGTCGCAGAAACAGTGCCTGCGCTGCGCAGCGAGTGGAAACCGTGGGTGGATGCGGAGATAGTAGTGTCAACATTGCTTATTGCGCCGTGTGCGCGCTGGCCGGATTGGTATGTACGGTGGCATAGTATCAAGAATGACGGTGCGAGTAATGTGCAATTGAGGGCTGTGCAGGGTGGGTTTGCGATTCAAGGGCGGGGGCGTAGGAAAGGGGAGGTACTGCCGGAATTCACTAGTGTATCGGAGCTCAAGAGTGCTGCTGTGGAGCAGGACCAGGTGTCGGTCCCGGAAGGTACAGTGACAGATGGGGATTCAACGGTTATATGTTCGGATGCAGGTGCGAGTGGTGTTCGCATGCTGAGGTTACAGGGCGAGCAGCAGAGACCTGCCATAATGCGGCAGTGGGCGCAGAGTCTCAAGCCAGATGCTAATACGAATTTGGTATGGCAGCGGACCCTTATACCAACAGTTGGTGTGGATGCTGTTGCTAGGTGTTCGGCGGTTGATGCTGGACCTGTGCTCTTTGGCTGTGCAGTGTTCGCGTTGGCGTTGACAGAGCATAGAGCAGAGACGTACACTCAGAGGCTGGATCTGGAGAAATCGTGGATGGATACGCCGATTGTTGGCGTTGGAAATGAAAACACTAATAGTAATGAGTGGTATCTCAGAGTTGAGTAGACATACCAAACTGTTGGAAACAACTTCCACACGACGTTATTTCTTCTTTGCAAACAGCCTTGTTATCGATCATATGTGAAACGCAGACAGCAATCTTAACATATTTGTGGTATTTCCAATCTAAAGTCTGAATATAAAAAGCCCATACATCTCTAGCGTGCATAAAAGCAAGCCAGCAGGCCTCCCATGACACAAAATTTTGGGCATAGATGTCTTTGCCGCTCCCCCTTTCCAAATGGAACCAAACATTTCATGTCTGTGACACGTCGGACGAGGAGTCACGTAGTGAACCCACGCCAGGCATGCGCGCGTGATATTTTTCTTTTCGGAAACAAGCAAAAATCACAGCTCCTAGCTGCTGCTCAAGCCCAACGACACCAAGAAACGCCAATTATATCTGATTAGGGTAATCGAAGCAGGGCTTTGGAAACACAAAAGTGGGCGTCGCAGTAGTGCATACGCCACTTTACCTCTTCCGCACGCAGAAGAAGAGACCAGTGCGACCAAGGAACCACAGACATCCGATGAAACGAATCAAGGCAAGTACTGCAGTAGACCACAGGAGAGCCTGGAAGAAGTGTGCGGTTCTGGTAGAGGCGTTCGACTGTCGTCATATTAGCATAGTCTAGAGAAGAGAGAAGGATTAAAACTTACCGAGAAACCGAAGCGGTCAAAGTTGTCTTGGGTGATAACAACGGCGAGAGTCGCGTTGGAACCAATCCAAGCGGTACACAGATGGGTACGGAAAGACTTGTAAGAATCCTCGAGGGTCTTCTCGTCCTTCTCCTCTGGTGGAATGTATGGGGCAAGAGCACGCTTCACAGTGGCCTCGAACGCACTGTCAATATCGGCCTGAGGAAGATCAGGCTCCTCAATGACGTTGTGCTTTCCGTCTGATCCCTTCTCCGTCTTGGCTGATGGCAGAAGATCCGCCTTGTCAGAACCCTTGGTACCCCAGGACACATCGTGCCAATTGGAGAACGCGTAGACGTTGAGAATGTTGATGTACGAGGACATGATGAGCAGATATTGCGGGAACGAGGTGAACATGTGCCATGGGTCCATGTAGAGGAAGGAAGCGACGTAGTAGAGACCGAAAGTCGCGGCAAGAGCTATGATAATGATACCAACACCATCTGATGAGAAAAAGGATTTGGCAAAGGCTTCTGGTGACGAGGTATCGAGCTTCTGAGAGGTCGGGTTGGTAAAGGCCTGAATAACAAGGTAGATAGACAGGATGACAATGTAGAGCTGGATGATACCGAAGACGCAGAACGATACCAAGTAAGAGTACTTGGAGCCCTTGGGACGATTACCAAAGGCCAGAATAAACTGCAAGACCAGGAATGCGAGGTAGAGGTAGGTGACAATGGTGTTGAAGATGGGAGTGACGCGGTTACCAAATGGCCAAGCATCTCGAGTGTCGGTCTTGCTGCCGACAAGACTCATGATAATGACGGTAGTAAGCCAGAAGGAAGCCAGAGCGAACCAGGTAAGAATAGTCTGGAAGATGTTGTACAACATCTGAATGTGGAAGAAGAACATGCGCACGAAGTTGTGACCACTCTTATACATGCGACCGAAATGCAGGAGGGCGTAGATACCGGCAGCGAAAGAACCGTTGAGCCAACGACGACGCTGACCAATGAGTTCGGCAGCGCCTTCGGGCACGTCAGTCTCTCCCTTGGAAGCCTTGATGTAGGTAAGATGCCACTTTGATCCAGCCTTTGCGACGAGTTCGAAACACAGAATACGATCTTCGGCCAAGAACATGTTCTTCTTGAAAATGTTCATGCCCTCAATACCCTTCTTTCCGAGAATCTTGGCGAGAGTGTGGTCACCGTGGAAGTATTGCTCGAGCGGTCGGCCCATGATAGCGCGGTAGCGGTAAGCTGAGAAAGCACCAGGCAACACAGAGACGTAGCCGAAAGACGACTCGAGCGGCTTGTCAAGAATGTTACTGATCTTGTACTCGAAATTCTGAGCAGCCACAAGCGGATTGAGCAGATTTTTCCAACCCTATCAAAAGTTAGTCAAAGCAACCATAATATTGTGAATTCGGAGACGTGCCTTTCCAAGCATAGCATGAATCTCACCGCAAGCACCACCAAGATCTTTGTCGTTGTAGAAGCCTTCCCAGAGAGCGAGCAGCGACTTGGGACCGGGCTTGGTACCGGCATCGAGCAGAATGCAGACTTCGGGGTTCAGAATGCGGCCAATGGCAGTGAAGAGCCATCTGTGAGAGTTGATCTTCTTGGTGTTCTTCTGCTTCAAGCAAAACATCATCTGAACGGGAGGCAGAGTGCTGGCGCTGTCATCGTGCGGGCGGATGAGCTGCTGGTTGGGTGTGACGGAAAGTTGTGTGGTGTACTCGAACTAAGCCTTGTTAGCTGTGCCTCGCAATCGGGTCAAGTTTGGTGCAACTTACAATGTGAGCAATCGTCTCGTTTCCGTCGATGTCTTTCTTCATGACACCGTCCTGGTAAACACCGACGGTGGCGAGCAGATCGAGCGTACCCTTGTCACAGGGATCGATACCGTCGAAAACCAAGCAGACGACAATCTTTTGCCAAGCTGGACCACCCTTGTTCCAGAACTCGGACTTTTTGAGATTGACAATGTCGCGAATGTTCTGCATGACACCGTGCAAGGTGCGGGCAGTGAGAACCTTGTCTTCGTTATAGTAGGTAATGGCAATGAGCAACTCAGTGTGGCGGTTGTACATGGCCGGACGCAGATTGTAACCGTTCTTAAGTGTGAAGTCATTGGGGTCGCACGTGGCAGCCGTGTCTAGCAGCTGTCAGAATCGGATCTGCGGAATGCTTGGAGAGCAGGAAGGCACAAAAACTTACATCGCATGTGGGTAAACTCCTCGCTGCCGCTTTCGAGGTCATTGCGGTATTTTGCCTGGATGGCATTCTGGATAGCTGAAGGCACGGGGTAGTCGGCACTGAGGACGGAACCCTGGACGAGCTTGACCTTACGGGTCATGCCACGTTTGAGGCCACCGGCTTGACCACCAGGCTGCTGTCGCTGCCTCCATGCCTCGGTGGAGCTGGTCTCGCTCCTCTCGTATGGTGAGGGTGCACGCTGGCCGGCACCAAAGTCGCTGGCCGGGTCGTAGCCACCGCTGACCGAGTAGCTGGTGCCCTCATGGCCCTGTGCTGGGTATTGAGTTGGCCGGTCGTTGGCATAGGATTCGGTCAAGCTGTAGGTTGAGTGTGGGCGGTGATCAGGGTTGCCGTAGAAAGGGTCTGAGTTGGCACCGGTGGGGTTCTCGTGCAAGAGGGAGCGGGCAACCTCATCCTCGTGCTCAGTGCGATCGTACTGCAGGGCGTGTTAGTTACATGGCTTGCGTCTTCTTCTTTTTTTTGCAGTTGCTGGCATCAGGGGCTCGTACACCAGTGTTGGGGTCCCCAAGGTGGTAACCTGGTTGGTTATTGTTGTTGTACGCCATGACGAGCTGCAGTCCGCAGGCAGGGGCTGCAGATGGCGAGGCGGGATGGGAAGATGGGGTGGAGATGTAGGGAGGAACAATGGAAAGAAAAAAAGAGCAGTGAGCGCACGACTGGCGGTGTCGCTTGATAAAGGCCGATGCAGTGTCTGGGGCGCTGGAGGGCTGAGAAAGGTGCTGAAGAGGGGGCTAAGCCGGTTTGGGCGGAGAGATGGGGGGAAGCCTGCGCTAGGAAAACGGCCGCGCTGAAACACGCGTAGACCGCAGGGAGGGACAGGATAATTGGTCGACCTGAGGTTTCGGGGGTGCAGGTGGACAAGCCTGGCAGGGAAATGTAATTATACGGGCGGCCAAGTTGTCGTGCGGGAGAGCGGGCAGACTTGGTCTACTTGAATATCTTTGCCTGGGCGCTGGGCTGCTGACGGTAGCCAATACGATGGGGGGGGATGCAGATTCCAGCACTGGGTGTGTACACGACTTACTACTAGCAGCAAGTGCAGTGATGTTGGGCAAACCTGCTGTGCCAGGCGGCGGTGTGGCGCGTGCTGGCCACCCCGAGCTAAAATTAGAGCCACGGCCTTAATCAGCTCCACGCTGACCTGCTCAGCCTCGCACCAGCCCTACCACCATCGCTGTTCCCGGCTACGGTATGCCCAAAAAGCGTACTATTGTCATGTAGAGATGCAATGCTTGGGTTGTATCCGGTCCCCAAAATTATCCCGCAGCTATGTATGTACATGTGGCGGCGCCGATGGTTGATTTGCTTGTGCATGTTGTCTTGCAACCAGCCAGGGGCCGCACGGTACGTCAGCCATGTTTCCAGTGCTGCCCTTTGCACGCCAACGGCCCACCCAAGTGATCTTCACGTCTTCTGGAAAAAAAAAGGGTTGCGTGCATTGTCGCTGTTACGAACTGCAACATGGCCCGCGTCCTGTGAGTGGATCTCGAGTCGGAGCACATACAGTACTTGTGTCTGGTGGTGCACACTACTCACAATGGCTGCCATTGAAGCATCACCAGTCGCATGGCCAGCGACCCATGACCCCCTCGCCCATCAGGATCAGAATCAGGGGCCCGCCGATTGCGACGACGCAGGAGCAGGGCCCACGCCATCAGGAGGTTTTTTCCCCGCTGTTAATGCCACGACTAATTACTGGATATGGATGCACCTACTATTGCTGCCGCTCTGGCGGGTCAAAAGCATGTGGGCTTGTTCCCTGGACCCTCACACTCCGTATCCGGCGGACCGCCCTGTGCCCACGGCGTACCCAGTCAAGCACAATCCTACACAGGCACTGGCCCACTGTGCGGTACTGTCACTACAAGACATATTGCTCACAACCGAAATTCCGCCATGCCTCCTCACCGACCTGGCACGTACTATGTAGATATTTTGCAGCACACGGCTCCAACACCCGGCAGCCTGCGCCACCGTTCGCAGCCGTGGCGCCGAGAAGTATTGTTTGAGTATGCGGACAAAAAGCCCAAAAAGCACAAGCGAAGTTACCTTTTACAGCCCATGACATCAGCCTGCGCGCCATGCCATGCCATGCGTTCCTTCCGTCTCGCGTCAGGAGCGCGCCTCACGCCTTCCGTCATCCGCGTCTCAACAGAAGGCCGACTGGACTGTGACCATTCCCATCCTCACCCCAGAGTGTTGTAGTAGTGTAGAGATGACATCCAACCTTGTCCACGTGACTGACATGCACAATGACTCCCTCAACCACTCTCATGCCTTGGCCCGCCTCATCTCTGTCTCTGCTAATCCCATACCCCGCATATTTTATGCTTGTCACACCATCCCATCGTGCAACATCCCAAACACCATCTACTTGACTATCCGCTTACCAGCCCGGTACATACATACACCGACTTTTAGCACTATTACCCCACACCGATCAAGTCGGCGCGAGCCGCCATGGCCTCAGCCGCACCCCTGGTGGACCTCCCAAGATCCAAATCAAAGTCCAAGTCACAGCTGTCAGCATCTATATCCAGCCCTGCCAAGACAGCGGAACAGGTTCAAGCACGGCCGACCGTTGAGCACGGGCAGCTGCTGCCTCACCAAGATCAATTCGTCCACCCGCCGCATGTGATACCACGCCCAAGTTATCCAGATGTACATACCCTCGTCATTGTATGCTGTCACGCCATCTTCTTGCCCAACGCCGATACTCCCCACCTTCCGCTCCTCAGTCCTTATGACGAGTCCAATTGGCTTCTTGCTCCTTTCCAAAAAGCAGATGCCGCTGCTGGCAAACCCGGCGAGCACGAGACATTTATATCACACATCAAAGCAGGCATCGATGCCTTGACTGTGGGCACAGACGCTAACCACCCCATCTCAACCATTCTTGTCTTCAGTGGCGGCGCTACCAAACGCGCAGACACGCTGAAAACAGAGGCCCGATCCTATTATCATGCAGCACTGGCAGCAGAACTAGCCGAAGGGCACTTGGGCGGTGGCCGTGCTTACAAGTATGTGAGCCTGTTGACCGACTGTTTGCGCATCAAGCATACTTACACCTACCCATAGTCTCTATAAGAAGGGATACATATTGCTGGAAGAGGAAGCCACCGATTCGTTTCAAAACTTGTTGTTCAGCATCTTGCGATTCCGGAATGCCACGGGCAGATATCCTAAGCAAATTCGTGTCATTACCCATGCTTTCAAAGCGAAGCGGTTCCTGGAATTACATGCTCCGACAATCAAATGGCCCAAAAGTCGCATCCAGGTCCAGGGTATTGATCCGATTATGACACAAGACGCATTAACAAGTACTCTCCTGGGAGAAGAGAAGTCTGGATACGCAGCGTGGAAAGAGGACCCTATGGGCACTGGCACTCTACTCGGCGGCAAGAGGCAACTACGAGGATGGAATACCAGTACAGGAGCAAAGCACTTCAAGCATCTGGAAGACAGTGTCAAAGAGCTGTTCCAAGGGGTAGTCTCTGATGAGCTACCTTGGATTGAGTGAACCGGTTGGCTCAACAGAAATTGTATATTACGACTGCTAATATACTACTGCATGTTTTCTGACCGGAGCGATGTGTTTGGCCGTCCACAGAGCACTACATCCTCTCCGAGTGGTATCCATTTGACATCCTTCAATCTGGTGACAGGCAGTCGGTGAGAACCTCCATCGGGACAAACCTGAACACCGCCCTTTCCGAGCCATGTCGGAGCTATGGTGACAATGACCGAGTCGACGAGCGAATATGCAGGGCCCGGGCCGAGGAAATCATTTATGACGAACCCACCACCCTCGATCATCACGCTTCGTATGCCTTGTTCTTTCAATGCATCCAGAATCATGTGCCATGAGGAAGTAGTCTCGCTCTTTTGTGTAGGTGACGGCCCCAGAAGCAGGAACTTGCCTCCCACATTCTCCAGTACAGATCTGTGAGCGTCGGATGGTGCCACATGAGTGACGATGAACGGTGCCTTTCCTTTACCCTCCCTAGCAAGCTTGAGCACCTTACTCTCCTCACTGAACTGCCAGCGGCATTGTGGATCCACAACAATCGGTCGGGGCTGCCCAATGAGGCCCTCACCACCATAACCACCCACACCTTGTATCCGGCAGTTTAAGGATGGATTATCGGCAACGGCCGTGCCCACTCCAATCAATATGGCATCGTGTTTGGAGCGTAGAAAATGTGTCATGGACTTGGACTGTGGCCCTGAGAGCGCTGTTTGCACTCCTGGGGAAATGGAAAGTTGACTGTCGAGGGAGGTGGCAAAGGTTAATGTGACAAAGGGCTTTTCCTTTGGTGTCCGGTCAGGGACTGGCGGCATATAATCTATCAACTGCTTGCTTTCTGCATCTGCAAAGTGCAGAGCTTCTCTTATGGGTGTTGGCGTCATGATGGCCGTAGTGTAAATGCAAGTGTTGGAGATGCGGTTGAAAGACTTGTATGCGTGAAAGAATCTGTCAAGTTTCGAGGAATCATATACCAGCTACGGCCTGAGGTGGCCAAAGCATGCGCCAGTGAACATGGTGAGAGAGTAGTGTGCTGAGTCAGGGGAAGTGGCGCAAGAGACCGCGGCGGACCCCACGTCAGGGCACGGCCGCCCGACCATCGTGGCAGCCTGCCCGACTGTTCTTCCTCACTACCACAACAACTTACATAGACGTATTTCCTTTGGCGTTTGTGCTTTTGTAGCCATTTGCTCCTTTTCTGCTACCCGAATTCCCCAACACGTCAGCGAGCCCACCCAGTCCATCGGTTCCACCGCCTCTTGGCCCACGCAACCGACTCGAAGGCAGTAGCCAAGGACCCCATACAATACCGCCAAGATGATGAAAATATGGTCCATGGTACGGTTATACATAGAAGAGGCCTGCGCATAAAGCCTGTGAGCATCTTCGGGCACTGACGGACTTTCTACAGAAGAAACAACAGCAGCAAGACGAGGCTGCGGCTGCTGCGTCTAGCAAGAAGAAAAAGGTCACTCCGGCCCAACTGCGCACACAAAAAGGTACACGATGTTCGGAATCCGCATGGTAATAAGCGCGTAGCTGACGCGAACCAAGATCTCGAAGAGTTATCCCTTGGCACAACGATGAAGACACACTTCCCCAACCCAGACGATATCCTCAACTTTGAACTCACAATCGACCCCGACGAAGGCATGTACAAGGGTGGCCGCTTCAAGTTTGATTTCAAGATCAACCAGAACTTCCCACATGACCCGCCCAAAGTCAAGTGCACACAAAAAATCTACCACCCTAACATTGATCTCGAGGGCAACGTCTGCCTGAACATTCTGCGAGAAGACTGGAAACCAGTGTTGAACCTGAATGCGGTTGTTGTTGGGTTACAGGTATGTGGTTTGGCGTTCTTTAGAGTGTGACTGCAATTAACGGATACAGTTTCTCTTCCTCGAACCAAACGCTTCGGATCCGTTGAACAAGGAGGCTGCAGAAGACCTCAAGGCGAACCGAGAAGGCTTCAAGCGCAACGTGCGCGCGTCGCTGGGTGGTGGCACAGTCAAAGGACAGAGCTTCGACCGCGTACTCAAATGAGACTCATGGCATATCCGCAGGGCTATCCTACATCCCGCTGCGCAAGTGCCCAGCGCTCTTCCACGGGAGACTATATTCACGAGACACGACATGGCATCAGGGGTTTGGTGCAAAGTGAGAGGCGAAGGCAGTTACGATCTGAGAAGGATCAAGGGCATGGGCATAGGCAAATGTAGGGGGCCAGCATGTATACGAGGACGTGGTATGTTTGGGAACGGTGGTACAGCTTTTGGGCGCATGTAGTTGGTCGGAATTCTATACCAGTCTGGCTTGAAATTCATATATAAAAACACATCATCCTCAACTCATTCGTCGCAACTTTTGTGTGGGAAAACAATGCAGTGGCGTGGCAACAGTGTTTACTTGGGGGCATTGCATCACCATGCAGACTTTGTGTGCCGTCAGTTTAGTTCCTTTCCGGATAGAACACAAGAGCTCCGTCTAGCCAACTGCTGTGCGGTACCCAAGATAACTACGTGGTTGTCAAACGCTGTGGAGTATGATAGCGATAGGACATGCAGCCCCTAGTAAGCACTGCCTATCTTTTCGGTACAATCATCTGTATGAGTGTGTTACGGAGCGGCTCCCACCATGTGAAGCGCTGTCGGAGACACGCATCTCTCCCCGAAGACCCCCCACCACCCCTGCTAGCAGCCCCGCATCGGACACATACCGACACCTCATTGGTCAACGACGCGATTGAGCGGGTGTCAGTGGTCTGGGGCAGCGATAATCGGCGTGGTCTAAGCTCCAGAACTCGAAATTCCAACTGTGGTCATAGTCGAGCCCCAAAGTTTAAAAGCCATCCATCCCCGCCCAATATTTCTGACCCCAAGATACCCCAATCCTCATACACACACATTCACAATGGCCTCAAGACCCGTCACCCGTGCCCTCCGCCAATCCGCCCGCCAATTGGCGGCTGCTCCAGCCCAGAAGAGGACTTTTGTCTCTGCTCTGAGTGCTAGTGCAAAGAAGGCTGCCCCCAGGGCTGCCGTTACCAGCCAGTTCCAGCAAACTCGTGGTGTCAAGACCATTGACTTTGCCGGTACCAAGGAGACTGTCTACGGTAGGTTCAGTTAGATGCACAATACAAGCAAACGATAGCTGATGATGCTAAACAGAGCGTGCCGACTGGCCAAAGGAGAAGCTTTTGGTAAGTTTATTGACACGTCAATCGAAATGACTTGGTTTCTATCAGAGCTTCAGCTAACAGTCAACCCAGGAATACTTCAAGAACGACACCCTCGCCCTCATCGGCTATGGCTCCCAGGGCCACGGCCAGGGTCTCAACATGCGTGACAACGGCCTCAACGTCATCATCGGTGTACGGAAGAACGGTGCTTCATGGAAGGAGGCTGAGCAAGACGGCTGGGTTCCCGGCAAGAACCTCTTCGACATTGACGAGGCCATTGGCAAGGCCACCATTGTCATGAACCTCCTTTCAGATGCTGCCCAGTCCGAGACCTGGCCCGCTATCAAGCCCCAGCTTACCAAGGGAAAGGTAAGTCCTGAATTCAAGAACCCAACGAGAATCCATCTAACAGATTCAGACTCTCTACTTCTCCCACGGTTTCTCTCCCGTCTTCAAGGATCTCACCAAGGTCGAGGTTCCCAAGGACATTGACGTTATCCTCGTCGCCCCCAAGGGCTCCGGCCGTACCGTCCGCACTCTTTTCCGTGAGGGCCGTGGTATCAACTCTTCCATTGCCGTTTACCAAGATGTTACCGGCAAGGCCAAGGAGAAGGCTGTTGCCCTCGGTGTTGCCGTCGGTTCCGGATACATGTACGAGACTACCTTCGAGAAGGAGGTCTACTCTGACCTCTACGGCGAGCGTGGTTGCTTGATGGGTGGAATCCACGGCATGTTCCTTGCCCAGTACGAGGTTCTCCGTGAGCGTGGCCACAGCCCATCTGAGGCTTTCAACGAGACTGTCGAGGAGGCTACCCAGTCTCTGTACCCCTTGATCGGTGCCAACGGCATGGACTACATGTACGCCGCCTGCTCTACCACTGCTCGTCGTGGTGCTATCGACTGGAGCAAGCGCTTCAAGGATGCCCTCAAGCCTGTCTTCGATGACCTCTACACCTCCGTTGAGAACGGTACCGAGACCAAGCGTTCGCTCGAGTACAACTCGCAACCCGACTACCGTGAGAAGTACAAGCAGGAGCTCAAGGAGATTGACGACCTTGAGATCTGGCGCGCCGGAAAGGCTGTCCGCTCTCTCCGCCCCGAGAACGCCAAGTAAATAGCTTGGTGTGTCGAGGAGCTATGTTAGCGGGTAGAATAGAGTGTTATTGTGTAGATATTTATGTCTTGTGTATGATCATGGAATATTACGGCGTCGGTTGTGGTCCTCTGGTTACAGGACCGGGAATTCTTTTCCATCAAAAGAGAGGAAAAGAAGAAAGGAAGAGGAAAAAAGGAAGCTTAGTCTGAAGGAAAAGCGAATATGATACCTTTTACACGACCATTTTGGTTACTCTTCTGTTCGCCTGTGGTTTTCTCTTTTGGTATGAAATGAAGTTATGTGAATACGCCACTACGCCGTTATCTCCCTTGGCACAACATACATACAAGCCCAGCCAAGCCAAAAAAAAGAAGTGCCAAACTCGGGTATGGAAATCAGGCTTAATCCCGCCACCACTACCACTATCACACAGAATTTGCCGTTTATACAATTTGTACGAATTAGTACTCATCTTGCGAGCCCACCATGTATACAATCCACACACATTTATTCCCACATTCCTACAAACTAACGGCCGGAAATAAAGCCACAATATATATTAAACCACCACCACTACCACCACCACCACCACGTCCAACAAATCACCAATGTTGGTGCTTTGCTTTGCAAAAAAAGCCAACTTTTAAAAGCTTTGGAAGGAAGGGGGGGAGGGGGACCCGAGTTCAAGATTATTTATGTTTCCGTGATCTTAGTTTGGATGTGTGTGTGGGGAGGGAGGGATAGCCTAAGCATAAGGCTTGATTTGACACGGAGCCGTGGCGTATGGGGATTAGCGGCTACAATTACCCCGGATTAGCGGGGTACTTGAGTATACTTTTTTTTGGGGGGGGGGGAGGGATGGGGAATAAGAAGAGCGGGTATGAAGGTAATTTATGAGGGTGCGTGTTTGGTAAGTTATCAAGGAGGGTTGAGTAATTTATGAAGATGCGGGTTTGGCTAGTCATGAGGGTTGTGGCGGAATGGGCAGAGTTGGTGGTTGTTGGTTGTTGGGTGTGGACTAGGTGTGGGAGAAAAATGGTGCATAGAATGGGTGTCGCGTGGGAGAGGAGGCTTGAAGATCGGCACGTCCAATTCGTGTGCTCGGGTGGTCGGGTGCTTGATAGGTAGATACTTGGTAGCGGGTGATGGGATAGGTAGTCTGCAAGGGAAAAAGGGAATGTAACGTCTCGATACCTGATTTGTGTGCTCGGGTTTCCTTGATTGTTACGTCCTTGGCAAGTCGTGGATGGTCATGTTGCTGTTCAACGTCGCATAGAAAACGCGGGGGTGGATAACGATCGACATACGCACATACAATACGGCCCGGTTTCCCTTGTAATTTTTCTCTCTTTCGCTGTCGCGGGAAGGGGAGCTGGTTAGACCCTTTTTGTTTTTTTGGTAACAAGCTTCTGGAAAGGCTTTTGTGGGAAGCTTTTCCACGTATGAGGATGGATGTCGGTGCCAACCCCGCAAGAGGCCAAGACTGATACGAAAAGGTTAATGAGGATAGGAAGAAGAGGGGCCAAGGATGGGGTGCCTGAGGGGGAAATTCGGTTCGGGGGTACAGCTCCGACTTTGGAGGTGTTGTTGGTGGAGGTGGTTTTTGCCGGTGGGGTTTGCTGGGTTTACTAGGTCTAATCGTAGAGTTTGAATATATATATATATCTATTGGTGTTTTGGGAAGGTGATTCTGTCTCTTGAGTTCTGGGGCACCTCAGTTCCTTAACTCTGAAGAGCAAACCCCTTTCGAACGACTCCTGCAAAATGGCTCCGACAGTCGCAGAAGCGGGTGAAGGCATCATCGAGCGCATCGTCGCAGAGGACAAGGTGCGATGGTGGAATAAACCAAATCTTCGACGGCTGTATCTGCTTCTTGTCCCGTTTTGTCTCTTTATTGAGTCGACGTCGGGATTCGATAGGTAATTTCTTGGTTCGAGAAGTGTGTCTTTTTGGTTAACTGGTTGCAGTTCCATGATGAACGGTATGCAAGCATTGAGCTACTGGAAGGATTACTTCAATCATCCCAAGGGAGGCCAGCTGGGATTGTTGGTAGCATGCTACAATATCGGCGCTATATCGAGTATTCCTCTTGTTTCGCTTATATCCGACCACCTGGGCAGAAGAAAGAGTATTGTGGTGGGATCTACAATTATGATCATTGGATCAATCATGCAGGGATTGTCAAGAAATTGTAGGTTGAAGCAGATACATACTTTGCGCTTTTGGTATTATGGCTAATGCTCTAATAGTGGCCATGTTCGTTTTCAGCCGCATTTTCCTCGGTCATGGTATTGTATACGCTATCATCTCAGGTGCTGCACTTCTAGGCGAACTTGGTCACCCGAAAGAACGACACTTCCTTGGTAGTATGTTCAATGCCTTCTTTGGGGTTGGCTCAGTCCTCGGTGCAGGAATTGTTTTGCGTACAAGACTTATTCCGAACGACTGGTCCTGGCGTCTTCCATCTATTCTCCAGGCCGCGCCATCTGTCATCCAACTTATATTCGCATTCACGGTACCAGAGAGTCCCAGATGGCTGGTATCAAAAGACCGAAGCGAGGAAGCGCTTGAGATCTTGATCAAGTATCATGCTGAAGGTGATGCTTCCAACGAACTGCCGCACGTCGAACTTGCCGAGATTCGCAAAGCACTCGAGATCGAAAACGATTCACGTCAACGCGGATGGGCAGAACTGTTCCAAACAAAAGGTATGAGGCACCGTGCTCTTGTTGCTGCTGGCCTTGGCATCTTCGTCCAGTACAGCGGAAACAACCTCATCAGCCAGTACCTAGTGCCCATCATGGAGAAAATCGGCATTGAAGACAGTCACACCCAACTACGCTTTAATCTCGGATCAGAAGCTTGGGGCTTCCTCATGGCCCTCGTAATGGCGTCTATCACGCCCCGATTTCCCCGACGAAGAATGTACCTATTATGTGCGAGCTGTCTCTTATGCGTCTACACTGCATGGACCATCGCACAAGCTCGCAACCGCATCACGGGCTCAAAAGAATCAGGCATTGCAGTGCTCGCCATGATTTTCTTATACAAACCCTCTTACAACATTGCTTACAACGCGCTCACGTACGTCTACATGGTCGAAATCTTCCCCTACTATGTCCGCACAAAGGGTCTCTCTTGGTTCCAGCTATTCAACAGATGCGCAGTCATGTTGGGCTCGTTCACAAATCCCATCGGACTCGAAGATCTCGACTGGAAGTTTTTGTTTGTTTACATTGCGCTACTGAGTTGCGAGATTGTCTTCATCTACTTTTTGTTTCCAGAAACATATGGTAAGACGTTGGAGGAACTTACTTTCTTGTTTGAGAGTGAGAAGCAAGATCGCGAGAAGCTAGCTGCAACGACGGCAAAGATTCTTGGGCAGGGCGATGGTGTCACTGAGGTTCATGAGATACCGGAGAAGAAGGCGTAGAAGGCCTTGCATCGAGGGGGCTGGTTTGGACCCGGACATGGCTGGGATGGACATGGTCATGTGCCAGTCTCGCAAAGGCCGTTGCGTTTAGCGCTCGGGAAGTGGGTTTGAAGGAGGCTGATGGTTTATCTGATCCTTCAGGAATGTTTGAAACGATCTAATGACAAGATGAGAGGGAGTTGCATATGTGTTGGTTTATGCTTTGCAAGTGTGTTTGCCGTTGATCTACATGATAATCCAGGTATCCACTCGGACCAGAGTTCCCCAAGTTCCCCGCGTTGAATCTAGATACGAAGCAGGGGCTTGAGATGATGAAATATTTTGTTTCAGTTTAAACGGTAGTTCTAGTAAACTGTAAGCAGGTTCTTTGTAAGCTTCACGACTACTTCCTCCATGACTAACTACGGGATTCGCTTACTACAAACGAGCTAGCGGCTATGATATGATTACAACATGGCGTACTCTACGACCACACAGCGTACTGCTCTTATCGCCCACCGGGCTAACTGGGCTTTGTCCTGGACAACGCAGAAGTATCTAACAAACGTTCTGCCGTCTAGGCCCATGTACAACCATGCAATATGGTGGCGTTCCAAACGATAGCCTGGAGCTATTGTCATCTGATATGTCTCAAAACCAGCCATCCAGAAAGTGAATGGAGTTAGTCTGGCGCTCTTTTTTCTCCATTTGTCTCAAGACCGAAGCCATTCAGGATGATGTATCAATAGTTCCTTCATGTGACCATGATATCGATTGAAGTCTGGCGGCTACAAGAAAGAGATCCCGACTGACCCGGGCATCGAAGCAGTCTACTGAGCGAATAGTAGTGTTGCCAAGTGAACGATTTTCTGGTGAACGTACCAAATCGGATGCATGTCGATGGTTAGCCGCGACCCAATGGACTGGGTTGGTCCTGCGCCACTGTTGGTACACGTGTCAGAGCTACGATATATCGAATGACAAACTGAGCTTCAAGCCATGGTGGTATCAGTTATCCGGCCAAGTGTTGGAAGTAGATGAGAGCTGACGTTGAACCTAATGTTACTACTACACCATTTTCGGGCTTGCTCTCTGCTTTGAAAGCCTCCATCCAAATGATGGCAATCACCTACTTCAACACCAGATTCATCATCACGTGAATTGTGCTACATGCATGTACGTGCTATGCACTTTGCACAGAAATAATAAATGTACGATGGAAGCGATGCAGAATGTTCGGAAAATAGCGACTAGACGACGTGTCTATATTTTCTCTGGGCTGTAATTGGCCGCTATTTTTAAAGATGTGGGGTGGTCGGCTCCGCGCTTAACGATAGCGGGGTCCCGCTATCGTTATCGTGACCCCCCAAAAAGTTTGGGAACAAGACCATCATGGCCGCCTTCGAGACGAACCAACACATGAAAATTCATGCGATAGCCTCTGAGACTGGAAACATTCATCTTCATTCGCTTGTTCAGAAGATGTAACACGCCTCTTCAATTTTTCTGGCATTCGCATTGGTTTCAAGACATGGTGAGGCTCGAAGCGCTGATATAACTGTGCCACAATCCTACATTAACGTGACCTCATGGGGCCAAAACTAAGAATATGCCTACTTGCATGTTGTTTTTAATACCACGGCGGCAAACAAGAATACGCTAGGCTAGCCATGCGGCCACGCCAGCGGTTATACACCCGCTCTGTACGGCTACACCCTCACCGGTGCGTCGGCATGACAGCTCCCGAAGCCTACGCCGCACGCAAGTGTCAAGGCAACTGCCCTCAGCCGCCTATCTTGGCATGCTTTGCTGGAGGTTGGGGACGGGTCCTTGCGCCTAACTCGTACTGTGAATGGTGGATGGGTTCGGTAATGCACCGATTCCCAGAACCAAGGCATAGTTTGTATGTACGCCGCAGTGACAGCCGTGTTTGACGTTTCTTGTATGGTCCAATCACATGAATGACTAGTGGAGGCTTATACTACAGCTCGGTGTTGTTATAGTAGTACCTGAAGGTAGCTACTGAGAAGCATTCCACAGCTTCCACCTTAGCAGGCATCTCTCCGGTCTGCATCATAGAACCCCACCATTTTCTTTCCTTTTTACTATTCATTCAAGTAGCCCATTTCTAGTGGCTCTTCTTAATGCCATACCCGATTATCATTCCGGGTTCTTCTACACAAATGTCTCAACCACAGAAGAGTCCCATGCACTGGTCCGCCTTTCCCGATGTCCCAATATACCTCGACACAGGGAACAATGGACGAAACATGGGACGAACATATGGAACTACACCAACAACACCAACAACACCAGAGATCATCCCACAAAATCGACCAACATTTTTGAGTCCTGCACATGCAAATGCAGTTCCAGTTAGCCCTGTCGAGCCGAGCCCAACCACCACTATCGAAACTTCAAGCCATCGCTCAATGGTCTGGCCAATCCCTGAGCCTCCACCAGAGGTTGTTCAACAAAATCAGACAAGACGCCCACTTCTACGGTTCTTTCCCACCGACCGTCCAAGACTTCGGCTTGAAGGGCTTGGTGCCAACGCACCAATGCAATATGATCCTGAGAGGGCCGATAGTAAGCACTCAAGCATACCTAATAACGGACTTGGTATCCACAATGGCCCACCCAATGCACCTCATATATACATCCAGCCTCCACCTATTGAGAGCGAAAAGTCTGAACCAGCTACGAATATCGCACAACGCATCGAAGAAAAATTGTGGCGATGGAATTCATCTGGTAATGTCGTGGAACGATGGATGCTGGAGATCGTTAGCTGGCTCATCAGTGCTATATGCATGGGAGCCATCGTCGCTGTCCTGATCGTACTCAGGGATCAACCTGCCAACAAATGGCCATTTGATAACATGGGCTTAACTCTAAACGCCTTTGTATCGATTCTCTCTCGTATCGCTGGCGCAGCGCTTCTTCTCCCAGTTGCGGAAGCCCTAGGCCAGTTGAAGTGGAGCTGGTTCGTGAAAGGTGACTCCAAGAAGATGTGGGACTTTGAAATGTTCGACAACGCTTCAAGAGGCCCATGGGGTGCATTCCTACTACTCATACACACCCGTGGAAAAACTATCGCCGCCCTTGGGGCTCTCATTACAATTTTTTGTCTTGCACTAGACCCATTCTTTCAACAAGTTGTCAGCTTTCCTGAGCGTTGGACCCTGCAAAACGCAACTAGCGCTCTACCAATAGTCATTCGATACGAACCACAATATCCTGTCGAGTACGTGAATGGATTGTTTACTGCTCAGTACGATCAGGACATCTTGGGGGTTGCAGACACTTTTTTCCTCGGTAATGGCACCCAAGCAATACCATATGGCAATGGTACTCGCCCTGATATTCCACTCTCTTGCCCCACCAGCAAATGCACATGGCCCTCGTATGAGACGCTCGGCATGTGTAGTCAATGCGTCGAGTTACCGCAGCTTCTGACCTTCGCATGCATGTACACACGGGTTGATTGGACATCTGAGCTCAACACAACAGTTTCCTCCTATCCCAATGCCACAGTATGCGGGCACTTTCTGAATGCTACATCCGAAGAGCCAGTCCTCATGTCAGGATACATGGTCGACGAAAAAGGAGAGCCCGTCGGGGAGGCTTTGCTCATGCGCACCCTACCGCTCGTGACAAATCCACAACGAGAGTCGCTCTGGGGTGGATCAATCAACTTCAAAAATATCCGCAATCCACTCGAAAATGTTTTGATTTCCAGTTCGATCGGCCGATCCCATGTCTACGCCAACGATACACCAACTTTACACGAATGTGTTGTGTCATGGTGTGTAAAGACCATCGAATCATCGTATTTGTCTGGGATATACTACGAGAATGTTACCTCAACTTTCTATAATGAAACGAACGAGGAGTTTCCATGGATTGCTGAGTTCGACTCAGAAACCGGCGACACCTGGACTTATTATAACGAAAATGTCACAATCTCAGCGCCTTCTACTAGTCAAAATGTCACCGAGAACGGCTGGGGTGTCAACAATGAGACAATGTTGTTCACTGTCATGGTTTTCGACCGAGTGTTCCCAGCCTTCACAACGGCCACAGATGATGAAAGTATACCACTAATCAGGTGGAGGACCGGTTCGCCAACCGACGTTCGAACCAGGGAGCCGGAATTTAATCCATGGCTATCTCCCAACAATGTTTCGCGTCACATGGAGCGAATGACGACTTCAATAACCAACGCGATCCGATCTTCATCAAGCAATGAGATGATACATGGCGAAGCATTTGAGAGAGAGGTATATGTCTTGGTACGTTGGCCATGGCTATCTCTTCCTGTTGGACTACTGCTAGTTAGTTTCGTTTTCCTGCTGGCGACGGTGATCAAATCTGCATCGGAGAAAGATCAAGTGGGAATCAGGAAGAACTCTGCAATTGCAACGTTACTCTATGGACTCCCCGATCGTTACCAGAAACGTCTCGCCAAACCCGATCCTAAGATGACCCCAAGAGAAAAAGCTAAAGATCTGAAAGTAAAATTATCGCCAACTACAGGGTGGAGGGTATCGGGTAATGTCTTCACCCCAGTAACTCCAACCATTCCGAGAAATCTGCCACCACCAGGGTGGATCTGATTCGTCATTACCAAATTAAACTTAACTTCTTCAAATTCTGGGGCCACCACCTGGGACGTTCGCTCCTTTCCTTGCATCTCTCTTACTAGGACCGCCACCTGGGACGTTTGCTCCTTTCCTTGCGTCTCTCTTACTAGGACCGCCACCTGGGACGTTTGCTCCTTTCCTTGCATCTCTCTTACTAGGACCGCCACCTGGGACGTTTGCTCCTTTCCTTGCGTCTCTCTTACTAGGACCGCCACCTGGGACGTTTGCTCCTTTCCTTGCATCTCTCTTACTAGGACCGCCACCTGGGACGTTCGCTCCTTTCCTTGCGTCTCTCTTACTAGGACCGCCACCTGGGACGTTTGCTCCTTTCCTTGCATCTCTCCTACTCGGGCCACCACCTGGAACATTCGCTCCTTTCCTTGCGTCTCTCCTACTCGGGCCACCACCTGGAACATTCGCTCCTTTCCTTGCGTCTCTCTTACTTGGGCCACCACCTGGGATGCTCGCTCCCTTCTTTGGCTCCTCTGTTTCCGTTCCAACAATCTCATCCCTTGAAGCTACCAAAGGAATAGCTTCGATGAGCGGCTCTCGCTTGAAGAGATCTCGATAAAGCCGAGCGATAAGAGATCCTCGCTGTTCGACAGCAATGTCTCCACGTGGAGTGAACTAGGCCAAATGTCAGCATAACCATCAGGTATCATCAGGCTTTCGATTGCGTACGTTGTTGGCCGCCGTGGGCATGGCAACAATGGGCATCGCCATTGATGCTACTAAGAGAAGGTTGCGAACGTGCATGTTGGAGATGGAAATTAGGTTTTGCCGCTGTTGGGTCTTCTTGGATACCAGAGGGACAGATGATGACTTGGAAGAAGCAAGATGTTGGCACAGCCAAGCAAGATTGTGATACAAAAGAATGGTACAGTCCTGGTTGTCTTTCTCTGGTGTTGGCTTTCAGTCGTGGGAATGGGCGACGCATTTATCCACAGTTCTGGATGCAAGACAAGGAGTTTCGACCGTCATCACATTACATGCCCATTTCCACCTTCCATCCACGGCGCTTCAACCCGCAGCGGCCTTCTTGACGATAACCGCCTTTGAGGCCACCGAGGCGACGCGGCGCGCATGGAACGAGCATACGCTGTGGTTCCGTCATGCGCATGTTGCGCGATCATTGGAGGAGCGATGTGAGGGCATAATCTCTCGTACACCAATTCGGCAAGGTGAAACGCGAGAGCCAATGCAACTGGAACACAAGGCGTTAGGCGAGACTTTGTGGATGCCTAGTGATGCGATGTGGAGGAGCGAAAAATTGCCTGGCATTTTCATCACACTGAGTTGTCACATTGGAAGCGCTGAAAGGGCACACTACAAGGCAATCCTGTAAACATGCGATATCTGTAAGTCTAAATCTTTTACTTATGACTTCTTAGCATCGCAGAACGACTTCTAACCAATCGATAGATATTAGCGATGTGACGTGGCTTGGCGGCGTTTTGCACCTCAATCAAGGACGAAATGATTGGCTTTCCGCAGTCGGTACCTTACGCCAATCAACCGTTCCCGCGACCTGGTCACAACTCTTCTACGCACGTGATGTGCATCAGCGCTACGCTTTCTTCTATACCTTTGGCGGAAATTCACAGAACTCCAATTCACAACGTGGTTATGAGAGTTCTAGTGATGATGTTGCTATGGCGTTCTATTGTTCTTGAATTGGTGGCGTCTATACCCCTGTTTGGCATACCCAGTTAGCGGGACTTCCCCTGATGATGCAATCATCCTATTGTACAATACTTAGCAATCTTGTTGTAAAATATTAGCAAATCCCAATGAGACTTATTCAGTTTACTTGGCCTGCTCAAGCACGAATTCAATCACAGATACAGCGTTGATTGTGACATTGCAAAGATAAGACTCAGGTATGTATCAGCACAGTTCCGGGGTAGACTGGAGAGATGAATCACCAATCACGTATCCCGGTTAAGCGCCCAATCTCAAGACTGACGTTACCACGCGTGTTCACTTAATGCTTGAGCGGGACACTTACATGAACGTAAACCTTATCGAAGACCTCATTCATGCAGCTCCATTTCATCTTCACTCCTATTACAATAACCTTACCTATACCCATGTAGCGCATGTCTACACAATTCTACAAGTATTATGCGCATCAAGTCACAGTGCCTATGCAGTGTGATATTGGTCATAATTCGATTCAGATATCCACCTTGCCGGTACCAAGGTTTCCTCATCGGTATCCCTGTACTTGGCCGGTTTCTGGGTCTCGTGTGTTCCCACAGGGCAACTCTTTTGGCCGACTAGATTTTGCAAGATGGCAACGAGGCTACAATTCATTGCCCCACACACATATGCAACACATCTGATAAGAATGTCGAAATGCCACGTGTCACTCGGAGTTCGGTACGCTCAGGCGTATATCCCTTTGTTCGGCAATAACCTTCTTTGTGCATCACCATACCTGCCAACATCTTCTATCTCAGCCTATGTATGTTCAAATCACAAGTGGTCACTTTCATCCAAACAGATTCTGATAAAAGGTACTTCCATTGCGAGTTCGCTCAGCTTTCGCTGCACTCTTTTAACGCTCGAAAAGAATCGTTGGTTGATCGCAGCAAAGACTCAATCCTCGCACTCGGAACTCTTCTCAAGAACAAAGGTGGAACCATTCCCAAGCACTACCACTTTTTAGGTCGCTCCATTCTCATCCATATATGAATTTCATGGTAGGTTGGATGATACGGCGCGGCTTGGCATGCTCTCCAGGCCAGTCCCATCCACAAGGCTGGACAGGAAAACACTTCCGTCAAAGCACCGCACGCTCATCGTGTATTGCCAAGCGAATAAAGTCGCCTTGCGTTGTGCCTGGTAACCATATTTCCTAATCGTGCTACTTTCAGCGCTTATTCTCAACGACGTATGTACACCAATTACTACAATCCAGCGCTTAACTGTTCGCGTAGCCCAGTGTCGATTGGTCCACGTGAACGGTAGTTCTACGGACACATTGCGCCACGGCGCTACCACGAGCTTCTGCTCCATGATTGGTGCAACTACCACCCGTCCTTCCGAAGCCGCCCAACGCTCCATGTGTTGTCAGGTTACAGCGCTTAGGACATCGATGCTACAGGTCTGATTCTAAAGCCAAGTAGACTTCTATATTCAAATGACTGAATTGTCAGTTCTGGATTCACACGTATTGCCCTCGGCTGTTTTTCGAAGCGCAAATCCACGACCGGATTATCTTTGGCAGATAACGTGCCGCTCGCTTACCAGTAGCCGATAAGCGCCTGGTCCTTGATATCTTTATTCTTACAAAAATATCCGCAAGCTATGGCCGTGACTACCAATGATGAGCCACATCGCCCCATTCAAAACATCACCTTCACTCATGGATCATGTCTTCTCAAATTTTGATCAGCAGTCGTTCATACGATGACGCGAGCAGAAGAGAATATTCTACCCTTTACTTCGAATGAATCTCGGTTTTCATACATGCCAACGAGCGAAAGTGCACCCAGACCACCGCCTAAAACATACCGAGTTGCTGGATACGAAAAGCGCCGGCTCGACTTTCCGGGTCGCCTCGAGCAAAAGCTTGCACAATACAACGCATCCGAAAGCACTTGGAAGCGTTGGTTATTCGAAATTATCAGCGTGACAATAAGCGCAGTCTGTATGGGTATGACACTCCCACTCACTCACTCCTATGTGTATAAACTGCTAATTATTCGAACAGGCGCGATCATTGGATTACTGTATCACGTGAATAACAAATCCCTCAACACTTGGGCGCCTGCTCTGACTGTCATTACGATTCTTTCAAAAGTTGCATCGGCGGCACTCATTTTACCCATATCAGAAGCGATCGGACAGCTGAAGTGGACCTGGTTTCATGGCAAAAAGTCCAGAGATGCATTCGATTTTGAGATCTTCGACAAAGCATCACGTGGTGCATGGGGTTCAGTCATGCTTTTGTGTCGTACAAAGGGCAGGTCTCTTGCTGCGTTAGGTGCTCTTTTGACAATCCTTCTATTGGCAATTGACACCTTTTTCCAGCAAGTGACCGATTTGCCAGAGCGATGGAAACTCGAGGGCGAAAGCTTCATCCCACGCATTGTTCGTTACGACCCCACTGTTGAAAATCAATACGAGGCCGACATCGGCGTACCAATGGCGGTAACGAATAACGAATTGAGAAGGGGAATGGTCCCGTTTTTCTACGATCAGAACGGCACCCGTCCGCTTACAATGGGAAATGCTACACAAGCTGAGATACCGCTTGTGTGCCCTACCGGCAGGTGCGAATGGCCACCTTACGAGACCTTGGGGGTTTGCAGCGCTTGTGAAGATATCTCACACCTCCTTGAGTACGGTTGTCTGATGACGAGAATGGACTGGATCAGGGAAGCACTTGGCCGTGATTTGAACTATACCGCGCCTAAAGGTACGTGTACCCGTTTTTTAGGTTTTTGTTTCTGTCAAACGATTTAATAGGCCATGCCCATCTATTGGGACAACACTAGCACAAAGGTGTCTCACAGTTGACCTTCGACTAGTCGCTAACTGTTTTATAGACGCTGCCTGTGGCTACTTTATAAATGCAACCAGCGATGACCCTGTTCTTATGTCAGGCTTCCGAGTTTCCAACTTTACCGACCCTGTACCAGGTGAAACGCTTCTTATGCGTTCCTTGCCATTGGTCACCACTCTGTTCCGGGAGCCTCTCTATGGCAGCGCAACCATCAATTTCGAACATATCCAATATCGTATACTCGATGCGTTGATAGTGAGCTCGGCAGACGGCACCGCTGAAAGCGTCTACAAGAAAGAGCGACCTGTTGCTCAAGAATGTATGCTGACGTGGTGCGTCAAAACCCTCCACTCCTCATACCATGATGGGGATTACAAAGAAGAGGTACAGGAAGTGTTCATAAATAATACCAAGGCAGATTTTCCATGGTCAATCGAACATGTTCCTAACTCAGAGATAACGGCACAAGACTTCCATCCAAATATCAGCATACGTCCTCCGTCACTACCAGAAAACATGCCGGCATTTGGGGTTTCCAATGAGACTTTCTTCGATATCGCCTTTATCCTCGACGAGATTTTTCCATCCATGATTACAATCTCCAATCCAACAGCGCAGCAGTTTGTCAAGATATTTGCTAGCCACACGGACAAAGCCAAATGGCGTAGCTTTCGATTCAGTCCTTGGCTTGCGCCAAACAACGTTGCTGTTCACCTGGAACGAATGGCCAACTCTATCACAAACGTGATCAGATCCGATACGGGCAGCAACGAACTTATTCCCGGTACCGCCTACGCGCGAGAAACATACGTCGCAGTCCAATGGGGCTGGCTCGCGTTTCCATTAGCTATGCTCATCCTCAGCATTTTTTTTCTGGTCTCAACAATCAGAAAGACCTCAAGCGAGAGTTACGAAGATCTCGGCACATGGAAGACTTCAGCGATGCCGACGTTGATGTACAGCCTGCCGAAAGACATACAAGAAGGAGTTATTTCGACGACTCGACCAAGAGTGATGAGAGGTAAACGCGCGAGTAAGGTTCGGATTAGGCTTTTGCCGAAACAAGGCTGGAGGGTTTCTGGTCAAATAATTGCGAGGCCACCACCTCCACCTGGTTTCTTTTGATGTAATTTTATATGATAGACGATTTACGACGTAATGATTAATGTTCAGGCTCTAATAATACAAAGATATTTTCCAGATCCATAACTGATACTAGGGGCCGGAATCTGATACCGAAATCCGAGACGCAGTGACAAAATAGGGCTGGTGCCCATTGTCGGTTGTGTTCGTGCTGAAGCTTCATCGTGAGTAGATCCTTTCACCCAAAATCCTGCCTTATCTTGCCTTACACAAGAAGAAAAATGACCTAGATACGTGGCCAGAGATCTCCACCCTTTTCCGAAGTGAGGAGCGTATAATTGACATAATGCGTAACCATACCATAGCGCCAACAGCGAGGCTACGATACGCACACGATGACGAAGCGGACTGTCAGCTTTGCAAAATGAGAGACAACAAGGCTTTGTCCCTTCAGTATGGCCAACATTCCGCGTCAATCGGCGTGATTTAGCTTGGCCCGTTGTTATTATGTCCAACGCTGAGGTATTCCCAAGTCCAAGAATGCTGCCGCGTTACCACTCGTTCCTTTAACATGGACGCCATCTTATCCGGTAGCAAGACAAGACATCGTGCTCAAAAGATCAAAGGGCAATCTGCAATTGAGGATGATAATAGCTGAAAAACAAATTGTAGAGGCAGGATTGATTGAAGAACGTTGTTGTCCACTACCTAGTGACGCGCTACGACACCACAATGCTCTTACCAAGACGCGCTTCTCACTCCACCTCCGGACATCCAGGCTGGACACAGACTCTGGATGAAGTCTCTGGGTCGTGAGCATCTGTCTCAGATTTCGACTTCGATACTGTTAGCACACGTGTGCGCAAGCAGCACCTGTTGCTTTGATTGCAACCGACGAGATTGTTGCAGCTTCAACATCGCAGGTGCGCAATAGTGGCTGGTGGTGGCTGACGAGCGACGGCTGTCGACTGGTGTCGCTCATCCCCCCTGCTCAGCGACACCAATCGACAATCGCCAAGCCACCAGCCACAGTTTCGCATCTCGACAAATGTGACTTCTCCAGATGCGAAAGCGCACTCCGATCTCGCAGAAGCACTGCACCAGCTAGTTCACGATACCAATCTACAGCAAGCCTCATTTCAACCCGACTGAGCCATGGACAGTATATACCGACATCTTACATTTCAAACAACGAGAGGAACCCCTCGCTCGACCTTATATACCGATTGAAAAGGAACCGCGCAATATTCAATACGTTGCTAAGTGACCTCTGGCAATAGCTATTCAAAGCAGCAGCCTGGTTTCTCAGTACGCTCTGCATGGGCGGCGTGATTAGGATCTATATTCGGATACACCAAATCGCCATGGCCCAAACCGAGACGTTTCTCACACGAACGAATATACTTGGATAGATCGCCTCAGCTACCCTCATAGTTCCTACCTCAGAAGCGTTAGGACAATTGGAATGACACCGGCTCGATGACTCGCAAGCCATGTGTGACTTTGAGATCTTTGACAAAGCATCGCGGCAGCGTGGGACGCTGCGTTGCTCCTGTATGGCACTAAAGGCCGCTTTTTGGTCGCATTAGGAGTTATTCTAATCGTGCTACTTCTTGTGATTGACGCTTTCTTCCAGAAAATAGTCGCACTTCCGGACAAGTGGACATTGCATGAGACACCCGGAATTGATGCTGATTGTCCAAGGCTACCTTTGCAGAAACGGAATGAAGGTAGCCCCGTTTGGCAATGGGAGCCGTCCAAATATCTCATTCTCATGCCCCAAGAGTAAAATTACTTGGCCGGAATACGAGACTTTTGCTGTTTGCGGCTGCGGCGACAATGTTAGAGACCTACTCGACATCACCTTTGCTTGGCTCAATACTACTATAGATTGGAGAATCCAGGGAAGGACCGCTTGATGAAGAGTTCTATTTGAAGGGGCAAGTGAGAGGACATCCTTGAACATCACATCACCGAATTCTATACTTCTCTCCGGCTAAGATACTAGAGATGGCATAGCAAATAGTAAAGATGACCGAAGCTTTGCTCTTGAGAACCTTTCCCCTCGCAACTTTCATGATTAAAGTTCGCTACTACGGCGTCGGTTCAGTAGCCTTCAAAAACATACGCAACTCTATCCTCGACACTCTAATTGCCTCTACACTGGATGGCCGAGAAAGCGTTTATCAGAAAAAGACACCTGTAGTGCACGAATGCTTCCTCTCATGGTGCGTCAGGACCATCAAATCATTATACGATCTAAGTGAATACCATAAAAACCCCTTATCATTCTTCTACAACAGCACCAATGGGCCAAATACATGGATATCCCGGGGAATTCCAGAACACCAAGGCGGCGGAACCTGGATCGAATACAAAAAAAACATCACCATCACAACCCTAGTAATCGATCCAACCCACACCAACTACTCGATCGAATACGGCAGCAGTAATGTCACAGCACAAAACTTCATGACCATTTTCGGAGAATTCTTTCCATCCCCTTACAGCATCGACAACATCTCCACAATCCCTATACTCCAATACAAAAGACTTCTACTTCGCCATCGGCCCCTCACAACGCGACCTCCGACATAGCCCGTGGCTCGCACCGAACAACATTACACAGCACGTCGAGCGTCTCACGACTGCAATGGCAGACCGCGTCCGATCAAGCAACAGCCATCAGATGCTACTAGGTCGAGCCTCATATACGAAAAAATAAGTCCTTGTGCAATGGGAATGGCTCATTTTTCCTCCTCTCTTGCTCGTCCTCACGCTCGTCTTCTTGGTCCCGACTATGATGACAACCGCGAGGGATACACAAACGGGATATGAAATACATCAGCTATGCCGACGCTGATGTACAGTTTGCCGAAGGAGGCTCAGAGGGGACTGAGTCCGCCCTCTGCGTGGGGTGGGATGGACGAGAGGTGTAGAAAGGTGAGAATTAGGTTGATGCCGGGGAGGGGGTGGAGAATGTCTGGTGCGAGTTATAATAGTGCGTCGGTGCAGGTTCCAAGGCCTGCGGTGGGTACACCTCATGGGTGGATATGATATGAAATAACGAATCTTAGTTTTCTCTTCAGCAGTGTAAACCGTATGCCTTTTTTTACATAGTCTCTTCCAATTTCGAACACTTTCTTGCATCAGTGTTCTTCTGCACATCTGCAGTTAAGCTCAAGACCACTGATCAAGCAAGACGCCTACGTAAATAACGTTCAATAAACTAAATATGGTTGACTAGCGAATAACAAAGCTTACGAAACATTCCGTACCCAGTCCCTCTATTCATACAACCAATCCAACAAGCGCCGTGGGGTATAATGCATAGCACCCGCCGTACAGTCCCCTTTTTCCCTGTCCCCCTTCCTGATTATACACATACAGAACCCTATAATTCGTCTTTTCAAACTCCCGTATCCCAAGGCTTCATTACGATAGCCTGCCAGCAGGCATATCTCGTACAATCCTCCCCCTCAAACCAATCTCCCAATAAGCAAACTCCCATCACTCTCCGTAGCCCTAAGTTCATGATTCCGATACAGCGCATGCACCGGTCTCGTCAATTCCACATGACCCTGGCTATCATAGCTGGGATGTCTCGAATACGAAGCCTCGCTCGCTTCCGGCGGATACAAATGAATCAACGGCGTCTCTCTCGCCCTTTGGTTCGATGACATCTCTCTCTCCATTCGGTTTGACCTCGACGAAAAAAACGATCCGAGTTTCGGTCTCGAAGATCTCGACTGGCTATTCCGCGTACTAACCGATGGCGTACGCAATCTTTCTAGCATATTCGATTCCATAGCTTCCTCCCGCGACATGGATCGCGAGCGCTTATTCGTGGCACCACCGGTTCGTGACATGGAGCGGCGCGGTGCAGTGGTATCTGCTGCGGAATTGAACTTTTGCGCGATGATATCGTCAAGCATGGATTTAAAATCGTCCAAGAAAATAGTATCCGAGGCGCATTTGAAAACGAGGGCGAAGCGCCAGTAGGGATTTATACCGCTGCTGGCTGATAATTTCGCTGCGCTAATGGCAGCGTCGGTGAGGACGAAGATGATGGAGAGGATCATGCAGGCTAGCATTACGCTGAAGCGGCGATTGATTCTGATCAGTGTCCACAAGCTGAATGTATATGTCTTTTTAATGGCGTTGATCAGTTTCCAGGTTGTAAAGATCCACCAAGGGTCGCGGACTAGGGCTTCCCAGGGCCGCGTGCGGAGGTTGACTCTGGATCCTGTAGCGAGTTGGTTGAAGTAGGCGAAGTTGGACCAGGCTTCGACGATCCAGAAGGGTTGCACGCAGATGAGCGAGATGATGAAGAAGCGAGAACCCCAGAGGGGGAGGAAGGGCCGGATTTTGAGCCAGGCGACGACATTGTGCAGGAAGTAGGAGATGAAGAGGAGCGTGGCGGTTGATGATAAGTACCATCCGTAGTGCGGGTCCTCGAAGAAGATAAAGGTTCCGTGCCAGATCGCGAGGAGGAGCTTTGGATATCAGAACGTGCTTCGGACTATAGGCAGGGTTTGGGCTCACCTCGAGTAGTATGAGTTTATGGAGCAAGATTCCAGATCGGTAGTTGCAGAGGACGATTAATATGAGAATTATGAAACTGCCCACATTATATCCCTGTGCCCATGCTTCTAGGAATCCTCCTTCAAGAGTCATGCTGGCTCGCGTGGGTGGTGAAGTGCGGGTTGTAGCTGGCTCGGGCCACCGCTTGCTCATAGCCAGAAATTCACCATTGATGTTGCTGAGTGGCGCCATGATTGAAATCACCGTTGAATATTAATATGAGCTGTGCCCAGCACTAGAGCCATGTACGGTGGTGCGGGTGCTACGCGATTGCTTTCCAGCGTCGCAGTGCTGACGTTCTCGGGTGAGGAGCGCACAAAAGAGTGAATTAACAGCTGACAGGTAAAGTAACCCGGGGATCAATTTTCTATGCATACAGTGAATGTGCTGCAATGTGGGGACATCCTGGAGTAAATGCCACACTCAACAATAGGCCAGGCTGTAGTGTGGCGGTCGAAGAGCGGTCTGGCAACGGACAGAGCGAGGCTGTCGAGAGTGCTGACTGCAGCGTGCATCTGAGTGGACGCATGCGATACTTCTGCGATTGCAATGGGCAAGCCTTCTTGTAAGATCTGAACAAATTATTGCGGAAACGCCGTTTCCGTCCAGCTTACCCGCCGCATGCGCATGCCAGCAAATGAGGTGCGGCGTATGCGATGCGTTGTCGATCGGGTGTGATGTCAGTCGTGGCTGAGGCGTGGTACGTAGAGACGGCCGGAAATAGTTTGACACGACAGCCGAAAGCCCTCTTTTGACTCATTAATATGTATGTTGGCGAATTTTCTTTCAAGCCTCACTTGCTAACCTGCCTTCCACGGCCAGTTGATTTTATAAGAACACTTCGTGGGCAGTCACTATCTTAGGCGAAACTTCATCGGTGTAAGCGTATTCTTGACGCAACAATATAGGTAAATGAGGTGAAGGCCCCATGCCGTGTCCGGCTATGAAGTAAGCCATGGCGCGTGATAAACAGTCATGCCGTCTGGTCAAAGATTGAACCGGTTAACGCAAAGGGCAACCCCTAGACATTTCAATACATCATGTCAAAATTCGGAGCATCGGATGCGTATACAGTATGTACAGCCTGTGTGCCGCTATTGGCTTTCAAGAACCCTCTTGGCACCGTCACTGATGCGTTTAACCTCAACATGGCCCTTCTTAACCACATCTTCCATTAACTTCTTGGCCTTTTGGAGATCATCCGGGAGCACTTCACGGTTGACGTCGTACTTTCGGAGCTTCTTATTGTGTTCCTGTCGGGCCTGTTGTATGAGCTTGTCGGCACGCTCGGCAGCCTTGACAGCCGACTCAACAGCTGCACGACGTGATTCTCCAGTCGGCGGCGGCAGAGGGACCTGGATGGTAAGAGGGTTGGAGGGTTCGGGGGCGAGAGGTGTGAGAGAGTGCGGTGAGGCGGCAATGGCGGTGGTTATGGGCTTGATGTGCTGGTAAATGTTAGCCTGGACATGCTGCAGTTCCATACCACGGATGCTGTCGGAACATACCCCTTCCTCTCCGCAGATGACATTCAGTACTCTTCCTCTTGGAACGACTTGGGCAATATCTCCCAACCTCACAGTCTCTTTGCCATGTCCAGCCGTACCCAACTGCACCTTCAAGCTTTCTACGATATCCGGGTTGAGCTTTCCTCCGCTTCTTAGCTGACTCAGCTCATGTGTGAGCTTCTCAATTGCTTTGAGTATCTGCGACTCCAGCCCAGAGACGTCGTAGGCTTCATCGGTGGGGGTTGGAGGAACACCTTTGTTCACCGGTGGGTTCGAGTCGGTTCGAGCGTGTGACCTATTCGCTTTACCCGCCTTTTTTTGCAGCTGTGGATTTGAAGAAAACCCGCGGACGGCGTGCGAAGAGCATTGTGGTGTTGTGAAGCGGAGAGCAGGCCTGGGTGGTGTGAGCGAAGCGGAACTTTCATATTTGGGCCAAGCAACATTGGAGCTTACAGAATGCGACCTGGCGCTTCAATGAGCCTCAGTGATGTGCGAGGGGCGCTATGTAAGCTGTAACGTAAGATTACGCGTGAAATGACAAGTTGTGACATGGTGATGCGGTTTTGACAGTGGTGGGATGGTTGCTACTACACATGCTTGGGGAAGCACAGACAATTAGTATGCAGCGGGACCAACGTCATCGCGCCGAAGCAATTCCTCACGAGATCAACCATGTCCTCATGGAAAGTACTAGTATTATCATACCGAGAGAACCATTGTTCACATAGTGATATGGCAATGTCCTTTATATTACCCTATCATCCACCCGAACCTCCACCTTCTGCTGCAACCGTCAACAGCTCTAACAGTGTATGCCTCTTTTCCTTTTCACTCCGGATCATGCACGTTGCTGTGGCCATGAATACTTGGTACAGCGTACTTTTCCTCAGCCTCAATACTCTCTTGTTTCTCGTATTCTCCTCCAATTGCCCTTCGTCAGAACTCAAGCCGAGCATTGAGGGGGCGTATGCATCGACCAAACCCAAAATTGCATCGTCGAAAAACTCCAGAGTGCCATTCTTCTTGGCTGCAATGGAGCACGTATATTTGCCCAAACACAGTTCATCCTGTTCATGTTTCTTGTCGTCAACGATTGGAAGTCTGGCAACAAGCTTCAGGTGATTGAAGCGCAGAAACAGGCCACAAGCCCTTGATTCGCTGACCGAAGCCGTTCCTTTCCAGTAAAAATCAATGCCCATGTAGTGGAAGTGGTAGCATCGAGTATGGCGAGATAATGGGCTTATCCACCGCAAGTGAACGACCTCTTCGGCTACCATAGGTTTCTCAAACTCGGGGTCCTTGACTTCAAACACATCGGGATCCGGACCTTTACCTGCCTCTCGGTTCGCTCTGACAGTGTGTACGTATTTCTTTCCTGTTTCTCCCCAAAGCCTCCATCCTCTGACTTTGTAGCCCTTGAGCTTGTGTTCATCGGCCTTGAGTGCCTTCTTGTCGCCTCCATTATGGCGCCATGAGACTACACCGCGTGGGTCAATCACACCTGGTTGGCTGATTGACGGTCCTAGTTGTAACTTATAATCTCTCCAGAAACAACCGTCGTGTATAAGTACAGCAGGCTTCGCCGTGTACTTGCTACTGCCCGTGTACAGGACTCGAGGTGGTACATGAAACGACAGGTATGGTTGATGCATAAAGAAAGCATTGTCATCCGGCTCAACGGGGGGTAATCCGGATTTCTTGCGCTCCTGTTTCTGCAAACGCTTCGCTTTTTGTTCTTTTAGGTTTGGGCCACACCATCTCTCTTTTCCCGGATCTATCACTGGCGAAATACACTTGTGACATTCGTGCTTGGCGTATACATGGAAAGTTGATCGTGGGTTGGTGGCAATCTCAGACCGCAGAGTCGTCTCTGTACGAACGCGATTTACTTCGATCTCATCAAGTGGGGATACAGGCGTGAAATTTGTCATAGGGGTCTACAACATGTCAGAAAACCAGATAATAGAAACAGGTTTGGTGATGTTCATCTACCTTTGGATCTTCCTGTTCGCTCTCAGAAATCACAGTGGTATGCTTCTGCTTTTCCATGTTTGGATGTAACATCTGCCAAAATAGCGGATATCTCGTTATGCAGTGTTTTGTGTCAGTTCCAAAAGAACAGGAAACCGAGTACATGCTTTGGTATTCGTGTTGCTTGTATATTTCATGGTTAATTGCGCCAAGCTTTGTTGTGGAGGCTGAGCTGCTCGCATTGCTCGTATCGGGTCATTGATACTGTTCGTCCAATCAACACAACGACTGCTCCAAGGCCCCAAGTACAACGTGATAAGTCTATTGGTGATGATATCCTGTGGGCACATTCGAAGCAAATAGAGAGTCGTTTTCGAGCAGTTCGCAAGGCAGACTTCGAAAACCCCTAAAGTTCCTCCTGGCCTTATCTCCCGAACTTAAGGCCTTGTTCCATCAAGGTCCAATCAATAGATCATCTTCCTGCCTCAAAGCTAAGTGTATCTGTGGGCCTCTTCCAATTATTATGATCGCCTTAAATAGTTGCATAGCTAGAAGTTAAGGGTTGATAGAAGTGAGGTCTGATACTCCTGTTCAAGGTTTGATGTAGCGTGGACCCACGTCATTTCTCGACAGAACTGACAAGTTCACATTAGCAGCAAGTAAGGAGCGGGTGACAGAGAGCTTAAATGTAAACTAGTGTATTAGATGTAAATAAGTGCGAGGCTCTCCCGTCCACGGGAGAGCCTCGGCAGGAATCCGCTATCGATAACGAAGACGCGCTAATCTTTGAACTTATCGTCATGACGTGAGAGACGCATTGTTTGAAGTAGCTTTGCATTCCGATCCATTCCTTCGCCACGATACGGTACATTGCTGAAGTTCCCTGTATGCCCGTATCCAAGCTGTCCAGACGATATATTTGTGCAGGCTCCCTGCGCACAAAACGAAGACCATATGTCTTCACCCCAGTTCGAGCCGTCGCGGGCGGCAATGTGAGGTGGTATGGGCAGGCGGCAACCCAGGGCAAGGAGCCCAACGATGGTGGCAGTGGCTTTGAGGATCCAGGAGATATGAATTCAATTGGAAAGACTGGAGAGGAGAAGGAAGAGGGGGCTCTGACCCGGCGACTGCGAGACATGAGCGAAGAAGCCTTGGTGTCTGGTGGACATGGCGCAATGAAAGCTGTTGAAGAAGCTGGATTCAGTCCGGATCTCAAGGCACAGCTGGAGCAACGCATTGCCGCCGCCAACCTCAGGTCGTCCGAGGCAGAGCTCCCCGCCTCTGCCTCTCGCCACACGCGCGACCTTGCTACTGCCGACGCATGGAGTGGCACTGAATCCATCCACGATGCCAGCTTGCGCATGCTGAATGATGCCCACAAGCCCATGCGACTGGGCCGCCCACCAAAGATACCTGGCGTACAACCATCACAGTCGATCGACACCGGTCACAAGCGAGGCAAGGGAGGCGATGGGTTGCGGCTGGCGAATGCTCGCGACAGGAGTTTGGTGTATACGACATTGGTGGAAAACGGAGACATCGACGCTGCAGATCGTGAGAAGCGGCTCCAAGAACTCAAGGATCGATTTGAACCTGGTGCACGCGCCATTGTCCCTGGAACGATACAAGGCCTTGCTTCGCTTGCGAATAAGAGAATCGAGGACGCAATCGCCCGTGGACAGTTCAAGAACATCCCTCGAGGCAAGAATGCTAATGTCGAACGGGACTACAATGCATCCAGCCCCTTCATCGATACAACCGAGTACTTCATGAATAAGATTATTCAAAGACAGGAAATAGTGCCGCCATGGATTGAGAAACAACAGGAACTTACGTCAGCAACAAGGAAATTCAGAACCCGTTTACGCGCAGACTGGAAGCGACATGCAGCGCGTATGATAGCCAGCAAAGGTGGCTCGCTAGTGGAGCAAGTGAGGAGAGCTGAGGCATATGCCAAAGCCGAGCTCATTTCGAATCCATTGAGGAAGCAGGAAACCTTTACCACCACCAATGACGATGGTCATATGTCTCAAATTTCGTTATCAGGAGAACTTAAAGTATCTCGACTAGCTGAAGATCCCAATTCTGAGCCAGTCATTGTGGAAAAGGTAGTAGCTGAGAAGGTCACCCTTGACGCTTCTCCGGAAGCTGTAGCCCAGAACCCGTCTGTGGTTTCTGTGGAAGACGTCTCAAAGGAAACGATGGAAGTGCCGCTTCAAACTCCGGAAACAACAGTGCCTCCAGCGTCGCATCCTTTCCGCGATCCTGACTGGGAGCGTATTGAAGGCAGCTACCTAGCTGTAGCAATCAAGGACCTCAACGACAAAGCGCGTAGTTACAACCTACAGGCACCCGAACTAGCCAAAAGACCCTACTTCAACCTCCAACGTGAGCTGAATTCGTGCTTTGCTGACGTTGCGCCTCAGCTTCCTGCAGCCATCATTGAACGGACGCGGAGACCGCCGAAGAAGACAGACACTGGGTATACTTCTGGTCAGAGGAGTGTTCTCGATAACATCATTGGCGGTCCCGTCCGCGTGCGAGATGAGCGTCGAGAGAAGCAGTATGGCTTCAAGCAGTTTTGGAAAGATCTCTGGGCCGACAAGTCAAGCAATCCATACTAAGCCACACATGACAGCTGAGCTGATCGCCCCTCCGCGGCATGCTCCACTGATTCGCCCACATTTCAAATATCACTTCCCTTCGCGGTACCGAGGAGACTGATCGACAACCTCTTCGCCTACCCTGGCATACAGGGCGCAGCAAAGCCCACAAGTCAGCATCATATACGGTATTTGCTTTTTCTTCTCCATGCGCTCATCACAACATGCGCATACGTTCGAAATAGGAAATTGACAACCTTATGAAGGATTCCCATATCATTTTATCCCGAATGGGATTCTGTCCTGCAGGTGCGTTACCAGGCCCTCGGGTCGATGATGCGCGAGTGAGGCGGTGGGGATTGATCGACAAGAGACCACGGCCATTGGACATGACGAGCAGGCAGGGGTGAGCACAACACCCGGAGGCGACTTTTGCGAGTCGTTTACACTAGGTGTACAAACTCCGGCAAGTGTAGCCGTGCAAGTGCACAGAGCTGCATATTTTAGCATCTCCTGCTCGGTGATCCCGCTGCTAGCGGATGGACAGGACTCGGGTCGGCAAAAAACAATTGTATACAATCAAGAACCCTATTTTCTCCCACCAACATACACACCCATCCTTACGCTATAATCTTTTCGTTATTAGTCTCCAGGTCTGGTATGCCCTCCTTTGGTTCGCCACTGTGCAGTGAGATACACATTTCAGCTGGCCATTAATCTTCTAGACGAGCGATTGGACAATTTGTCAAGAATGACACCACTTCATCGCACCACTTTATGGCAACACTTTTCCTCATTCCAGCCGCAGTCTCTTTCTTTACCCGGCCTCATCCCATCCGCATGGGCTGCATGATGGTATGTGCATCGCCATACGCTTACTGGCAATTCATTGCTTTGCCCGCCAACTGTGGGGGAGCATAAAAAGAAAAAATACGCCCCGCAACGCGCGTAATGCTTCCCCCCTTCGCCCTCAACTCCCTTTCAAGGAAAACAAGAAGCAAGTTTCCAACCCGTCACGCTCAGCACCCCGTCCCATGCACAGACTACCGGGATTAGCCCGCCCACCGTATGAACGGAACGCCTTTATTTGCTGTTTCGTAACAACTGGTTTTACAAGCCTGGCCTTCGTTTTTCTTGCCGTTTCGGAATTATACAACCGGCTGGTCGGCTCGCCGCTGTTATGCGTGTCTTGCTCAGTTTCAAAACAAAAGCTGCAATCGCCGATGCGGCAAACCGTTGAGGTGGCTATGCCTACCGTGTGACCAAACCGAGCTGTCGCTTTTCTTTTTCTTTTGGATATGTCTTGTTGCTTTGGGGAGTGCATTGTATCATGTAGTTGTGGTGGTTTCAGTGCGTTCTCTGAACGGTATGTTAAAAGATATGTTGTGGCAATTCGTCAAAGTAGATTGAACTAGCATGCGTATTCACACGTAGTGAGAATACCGTCCGAATTACTTCGGAATGCCGACATGTTTCCAACCCAAATCTAGACCTTTCGCAAGGGTTTCCTGAATCGCCGTTCTACATTCAGACATGTGATCTATAGTTTTTGCTGTTGCCTACGTAGTGTACTCCATGGTGCACCCAAGTCTGTTTTCCCCATATGAAAGCAACCCATACGCATCCTGGGAGAAGATCACCCGCGTCAATCTGATAAGGGCAAAGTAAAGCAAAGAAAAAAACCAAACGCCCTGCATTACCAATTCGGCAGCCAGCTTTTCTTCTGCCGACTTTCCACACACACCCCAGCTGCTCACCATACCTATCATCATCTCCCCACGTCGGCGATACATGGATCATACCAAACAAGCACCATATCCTTCACAAAGGTGCCACAACCAAATGCGACACCCACACCAACACGACCCATGATGCACATCACCCCAAAAGAGCCTGAAAAGCAAAACCCCGAGACCCCCGTTTTTCCCCGCCCATATATTCATTCCCAAACAGTCACACGTCGCACAAACCGAGGCATGGTTACCGCAAGCATGTTAGTCCCCGCACTGAGAAAAAGAGTGAACAAGTAACGCGCAAAGAAGAAAAAGGAAAGAAAAAAGAGGGTAAATCCATGCAATGATCTTCCCAGACACCACTGCCCTCAATCCTTCCATCAAAATCGCTGTGCTGTTTTAGTGTGTACCTTGCGCAGTCCAGTCCGATTTAGTGCAGCCCAGTCCAGTCCAGCACACATACAGGCAACAAACAACCACACCCTCACGTATGCCCATACTAGAGCCCTGAATACAGGTTTTTCTTGCACCACACACGTATATGCATGCGAGAAATGGGCACAACGCTTCCAGCCACACCCACAGCCACAGCCACACACCCCTCCACAAACATATCTGTGTATGTATGTGTACCATACACCAAGATATGCAACGAATATAAGCAATCTTTTGCTTTTCCTTCCTACCGACGACGGCAGCCGCGCAGGCAAATGGAGGACGATCCTGGCGCCAAGTCTGCCTATTTGAGTAGCATAAAAGAAAAGCAAAAGAAGGGTAAAAAGCCCTGCCGGACTGCCCGTTTGCGGAAATGTCAGAAAACGCTCTTTTATGCACGGGGGGCGTGTGGGTGTGGTTGTGGGAGTAGTAAGCCATCCAGCCAGTCAGCCAGCCAAGAAAAAAAGAGAGAGAAAGAGTGCATGAGAGAAGAACTGGGATTGGCTTGTTTTTCATTGCTTCCTTTAATATGTAATGTAACGTAATGTGGGAATGTTTCAATACAACAAAACACACCTGCAGTCATTTAAGGAAACAGAGAGAGAGAGAGAGAGAGAGAGAAAAAAGAGACTAGAGGTGGGTAGAGAAATGTGCCGATCCTGGTTCTCTTGGAACCGAGGGATGTGAGTGAGAGAAGAGGAGGGGGGGATAAGCAGTATGCCTACAAGAGAAATTCCATGGTTGCTGGATGGACAGCGGCGTTCGTATCCGAAACGCATAATTAACCCCCCACTCACACACGCGCACACCCATACGGCACGCACACACACATTTGCATACAGTCTTCGTAGCGTTATTATAGTGCAGTCTGACATGGAAGATGGGATTTCATGGTCAGATTACCGTATTCCCTGCGGCTGCTCATCCGCATGCGAATATGGTTGGAGGTGTTGATCTTCCGGTTGACCCCCGTGACGACCCGAGCGTTGGGTAGAACGGCGTCTACGACGTGCGTTTCCGTTGCGGTTATAGGACGTGTTTCCTTGTTTGACTTTCCGTGCATCTCGCTAGTGTGGCTTTTTATGCAAAAGGTTTTCGCGGCGACATCATGTGTCGGCTTGCCTGCGCCGTCGTATGGCTGACAGAAGCAGATGCGCAACACATGTCCGGCTACCGGTCCGAGGAGTCCTGTCTTGCCTTCTCGTCTTACGTGCCGACTGGGTATGCGCTTCCTGTCAGGAGTAGCGACGGATACACATTTCCGTTTGTGAGGCATGCTAGCGTGTGTGATTACTTCGTCTTGCTTACCAAGATTTCTTCCTTTCACAGTCGTCGTGCTCATGACTGTCATCAATCGGGCTTTACGAGACCTCACCTTCGACTTGATATTGCCTTTGAACAACCTTACCGACCTGTCTCTTCTGTGCTGATAGTGTACCTTTGTCTTTCCATACGATTGGCGCGTCTGAGTGTTGACAGGGAGCGTCCTAGTCTGTACAATGCTGTCGCATCCTTTGACCCCTAGACTGGTCTTGTTGAATGAATGCGCATGTTCTATTTCAGGATTGATCTGCGACTTTTCAGGACGTCTGTAGTTGTGGTGGTGTCGCAAGTTGGCAGGGAGCGGTACCGAAGATGTGGGTAGAGTCGTCATTGGTCTCAGGGAAGGCCGTGGAGGAGGTAGACATGTTGCTGGAAATACATTATAGGAATCAGGGGTAGGATTTATGCTTGCAGATGCATTGGCCACGGGCGAGCCGCTGAAGTCGGAAGTGCTTGTTGTGCCGGGTGAGGAACTACCCTCTGGCTGGATCAGGCGACCAGATGGCGAAAAGAATGATATTTTCGGTGTCTCGTAGTTTCTGCGAACAATTCCTGAGGCTTCTGCTATTGGAAGCAGATTCGTCAGAGCAGATGAGGTGATGGACCGACGTGGCCGTTCCGTTTCCGGCGACTGTTTGGCTTCAGGAGATCCAGAAAGTGAAGCATGTCGCTCCGGCTCTGCCACCTGGGGGGTGAACCATACCGGCGCTACAGGTGTAGATGAAGGCGATTGGCATATCTTCTGAGGAAATTCGTGTTGAAGATCGACATCTACACCAACTACACTACCAGAATAAGATGTGGATACAGTGCTACAAAAGCTGGCATTTTGACTAGCGTCCCCTGCACGATCAACCTCTATCCAGGAATGAGTGGCATTCCTCGACAAAGAGACACCATAAAAGGTATTCCCTTCTAGACTGGAACTTCCTCTTTGAGCTGAGATTTTCGAGACATTGTCGTGACAACCCTCTTTTCCAATCGAAGGTTTTGACAACGGATGTGTCGCTCCGAGTTGGGTGTGTGACGAGAGCATATCCTGGTGCGAGAGCAAGTCTAGACGAGCCGAAGGTTTAAAGGCTGTGTTCAGAGCCCACCTATCCCTGCTTTGATGTTGATGAGCTGGCAGTTGAGTCGCGCCCAGGGGCGCAGAGGGTACACCAGCTAGTGCAGCCAACACCTTATTTTCCGACTTGAACTTATCAGGGCCACAAACCTGACTATTTGGGGTACAATCTCTCGTCTCTTGCCGGTTATGAGGATGCTCAGCGATAGGTGTATGCGTTGAGGACGACCTGGATCGGGTTCGTGAGACAGCTCGGACGTTGTGAAGTACACAACGGACAAGATCCTTGACATTTTTGCTATTTCTGTCACAGTCTATCTCCCATGTTTGATGTTGTAAAGCTCGTGGACGATCCAAAATGGTCTGTAAAGATGGGGTGGTGGTTTTATCCTGCGGAGACAAGCTGCCGACATCCTTGTAAGATGGCTTGGAAAACTCTCGAGTGGTTGGATCTAGAACTGACTCTGGCTGCCCATTTTCTATATTGAGCTGGAGAGCACGCCTATCGAGACCCGGCGAGGCCTTAGGTAAAACATGGTAGTTAGGTGACGTATTTTTCACCACCCGCAACGAGGCAAACGGACAGGGACTGAGGAGGGAGCCCTGGGAGTTTAGCGTGGAGCAGGAACCTTGCTCAACAATTGTGGCAAGAGGAACGCCATTGGATCGATTTGCGAGCCGAAATGCAAGATTGGTAGGCACAGCTCTACCTCTTGCACACTGTTGCCTGGGGCAGTCTTGAACGTCGTCTACTCCGGAGCTATAATGACGGGTGCAGCCATTATGGTCTGGCGCGAAGCCCGGCTGACTACTCATTTGCAAACGTGATGAGCCTGTATTGACCAAGGCTTTTTGATGGGTGAGGGACTCTTGACATAGTGCATGAGGCGAAAAAGCGTGCGGATTCGCATTCCCTCCATGCAATTCATCCATGGCAGCAGCGTGGGAATCGTATCGTGCAGTTTTAGCTCCACATGCGGGCTGCCGGTGATTACTGCGATGCAGTGGACCGGGGTTGTTGAGCCGGTGGATGGGTGTCATGCTCGTGCCATGTCGTCAATGTACTTATGCCCAAGATGCGATGCGATCGATACTTGGATCGTAATGTGCATGAAGGCGGGACCTGGTGGATGCAACCCCAATATCGTCATCCTGTGGGCACTGCAGCGATCCTGCACGCTTCTTTACAACGTCCTTCCCGATGATGCAAGTCGGCAGCTGCGGTTGCAGTTGCTCGGCCCATGGCTACCCAGACAAATAGAGTAGATTCGCACCTGGGCCTCGCCCGGCAAACTTGTGTGTGTGTGTGACCATGGTAGGCGCAGTCTCGGTTTCTGCTACGGGCAAGCGAGAGAAAGATACTACTGTATCTGACTCGGCAGTACATGGGCAGCACAGGCCAATGAAAATGCTCCGCCCATGGGGCCCCCCTAAGACTCCAGACGTTTCCGCTTTGTCGCAAACGACAGGGAAAAGCAATACCAGCTGTGCTTGTCTCGGTGTGTGCTCCTTTCTTCAGTGGGCGGCCTTTATTTTTTGGGTCTCGGTTGGGTAGTAGTGGCCGTGTGCAAACTGGGCAGAGCATATTGAGTGGCGCCTCCCAGGCCGACTCAGAGTACGAGCCACTTGAGCAACACACGACGATGCTGATCGACTAGACGACTCATTGTAGCCTGTCAGTGTGAAGAGAAAAGATGGACAACGGCCCTTGAGGATTATCAACACGGTGGTGGCGCGGCCAGATGGGACTAGGACGGACCCTTGCATAGCGTGTATTGCCTGTCCACCCCTGCAAAGGACTGCCTACGAACCTAGTCTTGATCCGCCAGAACATCCGCGACCCTCTACGACGCCACTTACACGAACAAGGTGGGCTGACGCTTTCTCTTGCTGTGCCCGTGTACCCTATGTCCCCAAGACGGAAGGCGTCATGGCATTCCCTGAAAATCCGCTTGTGGCGTCAAACTACACGTCAGCTTCACTGAACGTGCGGCATCTGCGGTTAACCCACTTTGGCTTCCGCAATAGGGCGTATCAGCGACCCGAGCGCATCCTGAGCTTGACTCTGGCTGCCACCAGCTGATAGCCTGTTCCTTGTCATGTTCGCTCCACAAACTTCCAATACAGCACGCGAGCGGTTTGTGGCGGAGCCAATATAGTATGTCTAAACGGTCAGACAAGTCCAGCTGCTTGAGCCCTCAGGGTTTGTATCAAAGCTCCATGGCCACGCCGAATGCATAACGCTTGTGGCTTGTCGCTGATTTGCACGTCAATCCTCGTCCACTAAAACGTTGCGCATGCATCCATAGACACTGCGAGTAGCCACGAAACGCCTCCTGGTAGAATAAGAAGGCTTCAAAACTATGTCGTGTGGAGACGCGAGGGGCGATTCTCCCTCTCTCTCACACACAAATTTCCAAGCAATTTCGGTACGCAGGAGGTCGTAGTCACAGAGTAGCTGATCTGTCCACCTATACCATTACTTTATCTTTGGCTCTTCTTCGGCGACTTCAATCTGTTATCGGGTTGTAGGGAAGTTTTCGGAACCGCAAGCTTCCAGAAGCTCCTGTGTTGACGGTGCATGCAGTATACATGGTCATCTTCAGATGATATGCGTTTCCGTCTCGAAACACACAGATTCCCTCGTTTCAGGTTGTCGGATCACTCTGGTGACTGTTGCTCGGTGCGTTCGCTTGCGCCTTCTACAGGATACACTATCGTCCGACCTGAACTCCTTACATGCTTCTGGGTCTACTCATTGGTCTTGTATTAAATGACGATATGTGACTCGTGGAATTGTAGCCGGCACCATGCCCACCATCATGCAAGCGCAAAGCTAGCATACTCTATCTTGCGGGGCACGATCCACCAGACTGTACGTGTGGACTGATTTTGCATCCTGTCCACAAGTACATGATTCGATCGGCCCTATTGTTTCTGGGCACCTGCATTCGCATCGGTAGCCTTCAAAACTAAACGTTTAGGAGGCCTGGACGTGCCCAGCTGGTGTCATGAACCCTCAGATCCCACACTTTATTGGCGGTTGATCTTGATAGGGCTTGAGATACATACAGCCATACCTAAACTTGCAGAGTTTGCTTCTTTTTTCTTCACCCTTGCCTATCGCTCATGCCCGTCATCAGGACTTTTGGTCTCAGAGCATGATGGTGACCTGGCGGCCCGAAACATGCAGTGTGGACATTGTCGTGAGAAACAAACCTAGCACGTGCTGTCACAGCTGGCGCCAACGAAAGAGGGTGGATGACACCGAGAGATCTACGGGTTATCGCGACAGCACCATGCAAGCAGTGTATATGAAGCAGACGCCCTTGTAACAAATCACCGTGTTGGCTTCGATATGCAGCTAACTACCGTTACCGTCTGTACGGGAGGATACGCGAGAGCCAGGTGACCCACCTTGTCAGTGGGATCGGCGGGAACCAGGCAAAAGGCCGAAGATTCGCTGGTTGCGAGCAAGGTTGCGTTAACGAAATGGCGCTCCGGCCCGAACGAGTAGTGGTAGGTATGAGTCGCTACCCGTCAAGGGATGAAGCGCAGCACATCCCGCGTCCCTGTCGCTGTGGCTTATGCACCATGTTACGACAAGAAGTGGGATACTGGTGCCCCGTTGTCACGTGACGAAGCCTCCGTGGGATCGACCGGTGTCTAAGGATCCTGGCTCAAAATATAAAGACGAAAATACACCTTCGGATCCCCCTACTTCGGCCATACATTTTCATATCCTAGTCTGCGTATCGCTGGCTGTCGCAATACACCGAGTTTCGAAACAGAGTTGCCAAAGATGTCAATGCCCCCTCTTCCTCAGAGCGCCGACAAAAGTGCAATCTGCGCTCGATTAGGCCTTAGTGATCGTATTCACAAACTGCTCTTGGTACGAATACAGATCAGGTTCGACAGAAAACTGCTGATACATCTGTCCACGCAGAAAGAAGCCGAAATCGCTCGAGATGCACTAAGCAGTAACCCGTACAATTTGACAGACCAGTCCAAGACAGATCCGTCCGTATGCGAGCCCTACAGGTGGGACGAGATATCCGAGACCGCAAAGCATTCGTGTGTGTTAACGGTGGTTCGCGATGCCTGCCCTGAGACTCGTCCATATTATTACATGGGCTGTTACAGAACCGCAGTCAATGAAGAGAACTGGGTCGCTAGATGGTATCTTTGGCACAGCTTTCGCTATAGGTAGGTTAATCATGGCCATGATCTGGAGCCATAGCAGTGCTCACTGTCTCTGTAGGGACAACAGACCGAGAGACAGGAACGCAAACAACAATTCTTCTTCAAGCCGAGGAGGTGAGTAATATAACACAACAATGAGGCTACAAACGTCTCGCCACTTGTCTGCCCTTACTGACAGAAAGCAGGAACACACCTTTACTATGACCCAGCGCGTGATCACTTCCGGCGATGAAACCGAGTACTGGCCTCGACTTCAAACAAAGTCAACATCATTCTTTCTTGGCCTCATCAAATGGGTCTGCGATGCTGCCTTTTTCTCTATAGATGTCAAAGATGCCTCGTTATTGCTCCCAGTGCCAGAAGATACCGGCGTTGTCACTCACGGCTCTTCCATATATTCGCTTCATTTGCATTAGCGACGGTCTTTGGTTGTTATTCCCTAGCTTTCCTATTAATGTCTAGCACGGTTTCTTTTGTTTAGGTACTGGATTCAAGTCGACCAGGCCTCATGTTGTATGTTTCTCTGTTAGTATTGGACTGTATCTTGAGGGGACAATATCACTTAATGCTTGTTATGCAACCCTGAATCAGACTTGCTCCCCCAAACGGTGATTTCTGCGCTTCTGCCTATGTCTCTGGCTCTCCCGATTGCTGTCATAGCGGTAACGAGATAGGTGGTGGAGATAAAGTTCTCGAGAAGATGGACGAGCTGCGGGTTAAGTGGGGCGAAAACACGGGCTAGGTTGCTTAGTGCCGAAGTTGTCCCAACTAGCAATGGCACGATAATCTGCTTGGGAAGGCACGATAAACAGTCACTTCACCAACCTCAATATATAATATGCGGCACTTAAGCTAGTTAAATAGTCTGGACACTTCTGGCCTCAGCGCTGTGCATACTTTATCCAAGACATTTCCAACATGCAGCGTGAGGTCATTCTAGGAGCGTCTCATCTGTGAATCGTAGTATACACAGAACAGCTGCATTATACGATAGATGAAGGTGGCCCTTCACCATCTATTGGCTAAAATGAATCAAATACGCAGACAGAATACATTTCCTACTCTGCAAAAAAAAGGGCGCTGAACCGCTAACTTGGACCCCAAGGCCCCTGTGCCCTGAACGCCTTTCGCTATGCAAAAAGATGTGTGGTATTTTACCTACAAAAATGACTGCATCCGGTAAATGGGTTCAAGCGGCAGCGTTTGAGGAGCTACGGGCTACTTGTTCCCGAAGTGCCGTCTGGTATTGACGACGCGCAGCGTCTATCGCTCGGAGTAGAGGATCTATGATTTGATTGACAGCCTTCGCCCCTCCTCTAATAGCCTCAGGATCGAACTTGCGCTTCTTGCGTTCTCTTTGGTTGGAGAACTCGTTTTCTTTTCGCGCGTGCTCAATTCTAGCTGCACGCTCTGCTTCTGCCATGTCAGCAACAGCCTTGATGCGATCAAGCGATTTATCGAGTGTCTCAATGAGCTTCGCAATCTCGTTTGCACGGTCGGGATCTCCCGAGTGGAACACTGCCCAGAAATAATGTAGGAATTCGACAGTGGTGTTATGGGTCATGGTCAAATTGTCGAGGACAGCTTCAGAAACATGAAGCTCCTTTGCTCGCTCGGCGGTAGGGATAGACTTGGATGAGGAATAGTCATCATTGTGCAGATGTCGCTTCTTGAGAGCCAATAAGATTTGCGAAGAGGCCGCTTTCCGTGATAATCTACTGCCAACCTTTGTCTTCTTTTTGGGGACAGATTCCTCCTCGTCACTACTGCTTTCATCATTGATTTCGATGAGGGAATGTAGATCAACTTTAGAAGCCTGGCCAGTGTTGCCGTCAAATTTGCGAAGATCTTCGTGCAGAGTGGATAATGCTTGTGCAGGAGTGCGCTTTGTGTATGTCGCAGCACTGGTCGAGGTATGCACGCTTTGTCCAGCCGAAAAGAATCGGCTTTGATCGTGTACTTTGAGTACTACCCGATTGTCGTCATCTGCAAGCTGGAGATCACGTAGCTGGAGCTCCTTGTGTGTCTGTTCATCGACCCCGGCTGGTCCATGCCGATTTGCATCTGAAGGTGGCACCTCGTTCATCATCTTCTCGCTCATGCGATTCAGGACGCGGAGAATGGGCGCTTTTTCGTAATGCGCCGGATTCATGGTGAAGTCGGGTCGATTACCTTGTTTTTGGCTGTGATTGTTTTCGTTGGCCTCAATATTGATAAAAGTTGGGATAGAGGCAGCAAGCAGGTCCAGGGAGCTATCTGCTGTTTCGTCGTAACTCAAGTACTTGTCCAACTTGGGGTCAAGCACGTCCTTGTCTTGGATGCGTTCACCCTTGAGCTTCTTCATCAATCGACTGTGAAAGAACCTTTCCCAAAAGTCGCCCTCTGTTAGTGGGGGAACATTTTCATTGTATGCTTTTTGGACTATTGGGTGCTGCCTGAAGAGGAGCTCGATTTGTTCTTTGGTCAAGTTCAACATTAGAGTACCGTTGACGGATTTTGACTTGATAACAGACAAGACATTGTAGGTTCCTGTGGCCTGAGATCTCTCTGTGGCATGCGATCTCAACATATGTACCCGGGTTGACCAGAACTGCATTGAGAATTGCAGGACCGAGACAGAATCAGGTTTCTCGAGAAGAGCACGGTCGAAACGTTGTCGAAGGGCCGGACTGGAATTGAGTAATGACATTTGTAGGGCCGTGTCGGCAAGCAGCTTTGCATCGTCGTAGGTATCTTGGTCGCTTTTTGCCGCTGCTGCTACGGTCTGGGCCATGGCCATAGCGGCAGATGGGCCGCCATCGCCTTCACCCGCCTTGGCCGCGACGGGTGCAGGTGAAGGGGCAGCCTGTTGTTTTGAATTTTCGATCCATTTGCGCAAGGCGCCAGTTATGGTTTGCTGATCGTCGCGAGCGGCGGTGGAGGTAAATGTAAGAGTATGGTTACCGGCTTGGGGCGATGGCTCCTTGACGACGATCTTGATTGAGGCCTTTGCTGCGGTTGCGGGAGTTTGCTGCAGATCTGGGCGCAAGTCAGCTGCCTGAATGTTTTCTGGGCCGAAGCATGGGCGTTAGTGGACATACTTGCGATGTCTGCTATGGCTATCGAGAGGGGAGGAAGCGCGCCACTGGCCGACCTCCAAGCCACCGTCTTGCCATCGGCAGAGACGGAGACAGTTCCGTCCTGCTTCTTGTACTGTGCGGCAGCGTCAGCCATGGGCGGGTTGGAGGGGGATGCACGGCGTGGGCAAGTCTGACGCGGTAGAAGAATGCTAGACTAGTTTGGGGTTCCCCAGATTGACGCGGTGCACGTGACCACGCATCACCCGCCCTTGCGCTGTGGATTGCTTTTGCTTCGCTTGGGACGCGTTTTGTAGTAGTCTATCTGGTACTCGTCTAGTTCAGTATGTATACAGTGGGAGCAGTCACAGAGCCAGGTCACGAGACACACCCACATAGCCCTTTCTCTTATCAACATGTGCAATCCAAGTACTCACTGGCTAGTACCGGCCGGCATGTACATACATACTTTACTTAGAGTAGCATTGCGAAGAGCATGGCACGGCATAGTGTAAGCCAAGCCCGTTGACGCACATTGTGGCGCAACGGATACATATCCGTTACATTACACCCTCAGCACTGGCACCGCCTGCACTTCTCGCTTACATAATAACACACCGGTCGTCATTGACGGGCGCTGCACTGTGCGTGTGGTTCCCAGGTGCATTCGTGTCTCTGTGCTACCATGGCCAGCACGACAGGCAGCAGGCAAGAGGCAGCGTAAAGATAGACGCCACAAAGCCATGACAGCAGTCGGGCGCGGACAAGAGGCTCCAGACATTGGCTGGACGATTCGTGTTTGAGGCATTTGGCGAGGCTTGTTCCGAACCATCCTGATCGCACAGGGCGCTAGTGTGGAACACGGGGCCCTACGCATGTGCCATGATCAGGCTTGCTCACTTTTGGACGGCACACTGCCATCGCAGAAGCTCTCTTCTGTACACCACTGTCTGCTTGGATGACACGCATCCCTTCCTCCGTCCTGACATCCTAATTCACAATGTTGCGCAACACCCTGCGCCAGTGCTCTCGCAAGCTCCCGGGGAGCGCCCCAACCAGAGCATCTTTCACCACCTTCGCACAGCCCTCGAGAACGGCCATCTCGACATGTCGCCGTCCTCTTGCGCTTACCCACCGCCGTCCCTATGCCGTTTCGGCGGAGGAGACCAGCAAGGGCGTTGTGCGTGCCCATCTACACCCCAGATACAAACTCTTCGACCCCAGCTAACGATGACGGCATAGGACCCCAACGACTCGTTCCTCCAGGGCAACACGGCAAACTACATCGATGCCATGTACATGCAGTGGAAACACGACCCCGAGAGTGTTCACTACTCATGGCAGGTCTATTTCCACAACATGGAGTCTGGCGACATGCCCGTGTCGCAAGCCTTCCAGCCGCCGCCCACCATCATGAGCTCGCCCCAGGGCGCTACAGCCAGACCGGGTATGGGTATGGCCAATGTCGAAGGCACAGACATCATGAACCATCTCAAGGTCCAATTGCTCGTCCGCGCATACCAGGCTCGTGGCCACCACAAGGCCAAGATTGACCCGCTCGGCATTCGCTCAGAGGCTGAGTCTTTTGGCTACAACAAGCCCCGCGAACTCGAGCTTTCCCACTACAACTTCACCGACAAGGACTTGGAGCAGGAAATTGAGCTCGGCCCGGGTATCCTCCCCCGCTTCAGGACAGAGTCTCGCAAGAAGATGAAACTTAAGGAGATCATCGACGCCTGCGAGCGCCTGTACTGTGGCTCCTACGGAATAGAATACATTCACATCCCGGACAGGGAGCAGTGCGATTGGCTCCGTGAGCGCATTGAGGTTCCCACGCCGTTCAAGTACTCCGTCGATGAGAAGCGCCGCATCCTGGACCGCCTCATCTGGGGCACAAACTTCGAAGCCTTCTTGGCTACCAAATACCCCAATGACAAGCGATTCGGTCTTGAAGGTGGCGAAAGTTTGATTCCCGGAATGAAGGCTTTGATTGACCGAAGTGTCGATTATGGCGTCAAGGATATCGTTATTGGTATGCCTCATCGTGGACGTCTCAACGTGCTCTCCAACGTCGTCAGGAAACCCAACGAGTCCATTTTCAGTGAATTTGCCGGTACTGCTGAGGCCAACGAAGAGGGCTCTGGTGATGTCAAGTACCACTTGGGTATGAACTTTGAGCGCCCCACCCCGTCTGGAAAGCGCGTGCAGCTGTCCCTTGTCGCCAACCCGTCCCATCTTGAGGCCGAGGACCCCGTTGTGCTTGGAAAGACCCGCGCCATTCTGCACTATAACAACGACGAGAAAGAAGCTGTTAGTGCCATGGGTGTTCTTCTGCACGGTGACGCCGCTTTTGCTGCACAGGGTGTCGTCTACGAAACTATGGGCTTCCACCAGCTGCCCAGCTACCACACTGGCGGAACCATTCACATTGTTGTAAACAACCAGATTGGTTTCACCACTGATCCTAGGTTTTCGCGCTCTACTCCTTACTGCTCTGATATCGCCAAGGCCATCGATGCGCCCGTCTTCCACGTCAACGGCGATGATGTTGAAGCCGTCAACTTTGTCTGCCAGCTTGCCGCCGACTTCCGCGCTGAGTTCAAGAAGGACGTAGTCATCGACATGGTTTGCTACAGGAAACAGGGTCACAACGAAACTGATCAACCTTTCTTCACTCAGCCCCTCATGTACAAGAAGATCTCGCAACAACCTCAGACACTGGACATCTACACCAAGAAGCTCCTCGAGGAGAAGACTTTCACCAAGGAGGACATTGATGAGCACAAGGCTTGGGTCTGGGGTATGCTAGATGAGAGCTTCAACCGCAGCAAAGACTATGTTTCCAACTCCCGGGAGTGGCTCACCTCTGCATGGAACGGCTTCAAGACACCAAAGGAGCTTGCTACCGAGGTGTTGCCTCATTTGCCGACTGCCATTGAAGAGCCACAGCTGAAGCACATCGCCAAGGTGATCGGAGAGGCACCAGAGGACTTTAACGTACACAAGAACTTGAAGCGTATCTTGGCTGGTCGTACCAAGACGGTCATGGATGGCCAGAACATCGACATGGCTACCGCCGAAGCGTTGGCATTCGGAAGTCTGTGCATGGAGGGTCACCACGTCCGTGTTTCTGGACAGGATGTGGAGCGTGGAACCTTCTCTCAGCGTCACGCTGTCCTTCACGACCAGGAGACGGAGAAGACATACACTCCCCTGCAAAACCTCAGCCAGGACCAGGCAACATTTACCATTTCCAACTCGTCTCTCAGCGAGTATGGAGTGTAAGTGGTGACAATTTTTGTTCTGATGTATCATGTTGACTAACCCATTCCAGGCTCGGTTTCGAATACGGATACTCACTGTCATCGCCCAATGCGCTTGTCATGTGGGAGGCCCAGTTTGGTGACTTTGCCAACACTGCTCAGGTCATCATCGATCAATTCATTGCATCAGGTGAAGTCAAGTGGCTTCAGCGTTCCGGTCTCGTTATGAGCTTGCCACATGGTTACGATGGTCAAGGTCCTGAGCACTCTTCGGGTCGTATTGAGCGTTACCTGCAGCTATGCAATGAGGACCCACGCATCTTCCCATCGCCGGAGAAGCTTGATCGCCAGCACCAGGACTGCAACATGCAGATTGCCTACACCACGAAGCCATCCAACTTGTTCCATCTTCTCCGTCGCCAGATGAACCGCCAGTTCCGCAAGCCGCTCATCCTGTTCTTCTCCAAGTCGCTCCTTCGCCACCCAATTGCGCGCTCGAGCATTGACGAGTTCACTGGAGACTCGCACTTCCAGTGGATCATTGAGGACCCCGCACATGCCAGCGGAGAGATTGAATCGCACGAGGGCATCAACCGCGTCATTCTCTGCACTGGTCAGGTTTACGCTGCGCTTGTCAAGGAGCGTGAGGCACGTGGAGAGAAGGATGTGGCGATTACCCGCATCGAGCAGCTCAACCCGTTCCCATGGCAGCAGCTCAAGGACAACCTCGACTCATACCCCAATGCACAGAACATTATCTGGTGTCAAGAGGAGCCGCTCAACGCAGGAGCTTGGAGCTTCACACAGCCTAGGATTGAGACTCTGCTCAACCAGACGGAGCACCACAACAGGAGACACGTCATGTACGCTGGACGCAACCCTAGTGCATCTGTAGCGACTGGACTCAAGGTATCGCACAAGAACGAGGAGAAGGCGCTGCTGGATATGGCCTTCACGGTCAAGCAAGATAAGCTGAAGAGCGAGTAAAGGAGTGGGTTGGACTTGTAATAGAAGCCAGGATCATGGTTGGTTGCATTGCTGGATTCCCCCCTTGGTGCAATGGATAGAGTGAGGGTTGGGGATGGTGGGCCTTGCAGGATTGTTCATTTGAGCAATTTCATCACTGCGGATGTAGTTTTACTGCGTGTAGAGTATCAAAAGCTGGATCTTACCTTGTTACCATGTTGTTCTTTGCCGTGGGCTGACATGGGTTGTGCTCTGTTTTTGGTATTTCTTTGCTGAGATCACGTGGCTGCGCGGATAAACAAAGGGCAGCGGATAGGGCAGGGTGGTCGTGTGCCGTCACGTCCGCGGGTCGGAACAGGTCGGAAAGACGTCAGTGGGCAGTGGGGGAAGCCAGCCCGCCCCGCTCACCCCTCGTTGCAGCCCCTCCACTTTTTTGCGTCTCCGCACATGCATCTTCGCCTCCAACCACGCGCTCCCGCAACAAAGCGCGTCCATGTCCTCTCCTCGGCAATGTCCAGACACCCTCACCCACTCACCGTCGGCACTATTTGTCGCGCCCGTCGGTCTTCCTTCGGATCACCCGTGGCTGATAGATGCGGCTGGAACATCGTGAAGTGTCCTGTGACGCCCGATCAGTTGCCGAGGGATGGCTATAGCTTGCTGGCTCGCTCCATTCCGGCCAACGCATCTGCCAAACAGATGCCACAGAAGTGTGGTCCGCCTGTCCGACTCTACCCACCCTGACTTCATAATAAACCTCAGCTCCGCTTTTTGCTTCAATTGAACTGCATAGATTTTCACCATCCTCCCTCAAGCTTCTCCATTTCCCATATCCATCATTCCCATCTTCCTTCCTCCGCCCACCCCCCTTCTCCGTTGCGCCTCGTTCATACCCCCTTGTAGCAATCATCTATCGTGAACTGTGCTTTGTTGCCGCACACATACAGATACACTCACAATGGCTTCCACCACAAACGGTGACAGCAATCCAGTTGCTCAGGAAAAGATCAACACCAACATCATCACCCTCACTCGATTTCTAACCGAAGAGCAAACAAAAGTCAAGGAGGCGACGGGAGATTTCACGTGCGTTAATTTTTCCGGATCGTCTCGACACGGAAAAACTAACTGGTTTGCTACAGACTGCTATGTCACGCGCTCCAATTTGCCTTCAAGAGCATTGCTTACTATATTCGAAGAGCGTCATTAATCAACGTACGCAAATTCCCTCAAAGAATATCAGTACCCCCAAACTGACTTGAGCAGCTCACTGGTCTCCAAGGCACATCCAACACAACCGGTGATGACCAGAAGAAGCTCGATGTGATTGGCGATGAGCTCTTCATCAGCGCAATGCGCTCGTCAGGTCGCGTACGCCTCCTCATTTCAGAGGAGCAAGAAGAAGCCATCATCTTTGACGAATACCCCAATGCGCGTTACGCCGTAGCCTGCGATCCCATCGACGGTTCCTCTAACCTCGACGCCGGTGTCTCCGTTGGTACCATCTTCGCCGTGTACAAGCTCCCAGAAGGCGCAAAGGGCACAAAAGAGGAGCTCCTCCTCCCCGGCACCGAGATGGTTGCCTCAGGCTTCACCATGTACGGCGCCTCCGCCCAACTGGTCATCACCATGAAGGGCGGCAACGTCAACGGCTTCACCCTCGACAACGCCTTTGGCGAGTTCATCCTCACACACCCTAACATGAGGTGCCCCAAGACACGATCAATCTACTCAGTCAACGAGGGAAACAGCATGTACTGGGAACAGCCCGTCAAGGAGTGGTGCGATAGCTTGAAGAACCCTCCCGAGGGCGGAAAACCATACAGTGCGCGTTACATTGGTTCCATGGTGGCAGATGCCTACCGAACACTGCTGTACGGAGGCATCTTTGCTTACCCTGCCGATAAGAAGACGCCCAAGGGCAAACTTCGTATCCTGTACGAATGTGCTCCTATGGCCATGGTTTTTGAAAATGGTATGTTCTTTCCCTCTCTTCAGTTTGATTCTTTGCATGGTGCTAACGAACGATGTAGCTGGCGGTTTGGCAGTAAACAGCAGCATGAAGCGCATGCTCGAGGTTGTGCCCGAGCACATTCACGACCGATCCGGCATCTTCCTGGGTTCAGAAGGCGAGGTACAAAAAGTCATTGATGCGCACAAGAAGTATCAGAAGTAATGGTCTGTGGATATTTCACGCGGTTGGGACGAGTGCAAACAAAAGATGATCAACGCATCTGTGCAATACATCCTAGCAGTAGTTTTGTATAAGGTTGCATAATGACGTGAAACTGAATGATATCCACATACTTTCGAGGGGAGCCTAGGCAGTTGACGTGATAAATTCACCTCGCAACATCCTCGTCAAAACATCACCGTCATCACCATCATCAAGACATGCCTGAGGATTTGCAACTTCTATTCGGGGTATAAAACTATATTCCCTAACATGAGCCGCCCTTCTCGCTTCGAGCTATCCAGTCTTTGCTAGATGGCTTCGAACACCTGCTAACACTATGCACTAGCCCACATCCGCACTAACATCTACCCTTTCATTCCATCATCCATAATATTCCCCTTCTCATTCCCATTCCGAATTCGAGACGCCGAAATTCCGTTACGCTGAAAGCCAGCCCCGTCAACCATTGATGGGAGAGCCTGGCTTCTGAGGTATCAAACTGTTTGCGCGAACAAAGTCCCACCGCACACCCACTCATCCTGTGTCGTCAGGGACGGGGTGCCGTCTATCATACATAGGAAAAACAAATCAGTGAAAAAAGGAAACGTTGGGAAGAAAAGAGGAGAGGCCACCCGACTCTTGAGATAGAGTTTGGGCGACTGTAGTCATGGCGTCCGACGTTCCAATCAAGGAGTCAGTCGCCAAAAGAAAGTATTGTAGTCGACTCGCTGCAGGGTCACGACTCGCCAAAAAAAGTAAAGGGGGGCATCGAATCGTAAGAAACTTTTGGGGTACATCGGTCATGAAAGCCGTCCCGTGTCATGAGAAAACCGTCACTCGTGCGCCATTCGCCATTCAAGGAAATCATGCGACCATCATAACTTGCTGCCGTTCGAGGGTATCGCGGACCGAACCCTACTCAGTGGCAACTAGAAGGAGGTTTAAGCTTTTTCCTCTTTGGACTCCTCCTTGGGGGCTTTCTCTTCGGGCTCACCCTCTTTGTTCTTGACATATTCGTCATAGACGCTCATAGCCTCCTCAACCTTGGCGCGCAGAGCTGCCTCGTCAGAAGTACTGGATGGGTTAGTACAATAGCTAAACAAAACAAAGAGAAAGTGATACGTACAGGTTGATCAACTCGCTGTTATCCATTTCGAGAAGCATACCCGTGATCTTACCAGCGAGCTCGGGCTGCATTTCAGCGATCTTGGGGTAGAGAGCCTCGCCGAGCATCTGCTTCTGCTGGCCAGGAGCAGCGCCGCTCAGAGCGCTCATATCGACACCAGCGCCCGCAGGACCGCCGCGTCCGCCTTGAGGGTAGCCGGGCATGGGAGACTGACCAGGTCGGCCGCCCTGGGGCATGTTGCCGCGACCAGCACCTTGAGGAGGGAATCCCTGACCGCCACGCATACCCGGACCGCCTGCCATGGGGACTTGGGGCATACCAGGCATGGGAGCCATAGGGACACCGCCACGACCACCACGTCCGCCCATGGCTTGCTGTGCAGCCTGTGCCAGCTGCATATACTGCTGGTTCATGTACGAAGGAGGGAAGGCACCGGGAGCCATGCCAGGGGGCATGTACATGGGAGGCATCTGCTGACCGTTGGGGCCGCCACGACCGCCTTGCTGACCAGGCATGCCGCCAGGGAAGCCAGCACCACGGCCACCTTGTTGGCCGGGCATACCAGCGGGGAATGGCATCTGACCACGGCCGCCAGCAGGGAACATCATGGGCTGCTGACCAGGGGCAATGAACATCTGAGGAATGCCACCGAACTGCTGCTGTTGCTGTTGCTGCATACGGAGCTGGTTGCGAGCCTGAATGGTAGCCTCAAGCTGGTTCTTGCGGACGTCCTTGCGCTGGGCAAGAGCAACATAGAGGGGCTTGCCCTCGATCATCTTCTGATTCATCTCGGTGACGGCCTTGGTAGCCTCATCGGGGTTGCTGAAGCAGACGAAACCGAAGCCCTTGCTCTTGCCAAGAATCTTCTTCTCGCCCTTGATGGTGACCTTCTCACCAGGCTTGTTCTCGTCCTTCTTGTCATCAGCGCCCTCGTTAGACTCCTCAGTCTTCTCAGACTCCTCCTTGGCCTCCTCCTTCTTCTCGTCGCCAGGGGTCTCAGAGCGCTCGGCAGGCATGGCATCGCGCATGACCTTGGCGGAGGTGATGGTACCGAAAGGAGTAAACATGTCGCGCAGCTTCTCGTCATCAACGTCATCGTTGAGGTTCTTGATGTACAGGTTGACACCCTGGTACTTAGACTGCTTCTCGAGGCGAGCGGCCTCGTACTGCTTTCGTAGCTCTTCCTCGCGCTCGTGCTTCTTCTGGGCACGGCCGACGTAGAGCTTCTGACCCCGGAAGTCAGTGTCGTTGAGGGCGTCAACGGCAGCAGAGGCAGCCTCATGCTTGATGTAGTTGACAAAGCCGAACCCGCGGCTCTTTCCCTGCTCGTCGCGAGCAATGGACGCAGAAGTGATGTCACCGTGCTTCTCGAAGAGCTCACGGAACTCCTCGTCAGAGACATCGAGGTCGATGTTCTTGACGTAGATGTTGGTGAAGTTGGCCTTCATCTCCTCGAACTTGCTCATGCGCTCCTTCTTGGGAATGTGGTGGCCGACGAAAACCTTCTTCTCGTTCAACAACATACCATTAACGTGCTTGATGGCGTTGTTGGCAGCCTCGGCGGTTTCGTAGTGGACGAATCCGTAACCCTTGGAGTTGCCAAGCTCGTCCTGAGCGACCTTGCAGCTGAGGATGTTACCGAAAGCGGCGAAGGTATCGTGAAGCGCCTTATTGTCAATGGCGTGGTCCAGGTTCTTGATGAAAACGTTGCCTTGGCCGGTCTTGCGCAGAGCGGGGTCACGCTGAGACCACATGATACGGCAAGGCTTGCCCTTGATAACAGTGTAGTTGAGCTCTTCGAGGGCCTTCTCGCCGTCCTCAGAGCTGTTGTAGTTAACATAGGCGTAACCGAGCGAGCGACGGGTAACGGCGTCACGGCAGACACGGATGGAAGCTACTTGGCCAATGGAAGAGAACAGCTCGAAGAGCATGGCTT